ATATTACACACTTTCTCGATGAAGTACATTGAGTCCCTCTTAAAGAAAGCACCTGAGCCAAGTCAAGAACGTTAACTATCAACTCACAGTGATCTGCATGCTCCTTCCTACATGGTCCAAACAGGGCATGGCACAGGTCTTCCACTCTGAGGAGTATAGAGCAGAGAGATGATAAGATTGAGACACTCCCGTATTGATCCTGGATTTTCGCCTGTCATTAGCTAGCCATTTATGCCAATCATTATTGGGGGCAGCACTTAATTCATTTTCTCTAAAGAAAATGAAAAATTTTGAGTTCGCCACTGCCCCAGAAACTGAACATTGTCTGTACTTTACACTGTCTATACCATCGTTAGCCAAAGAAGTCACAGGCATGAAACATTCGCTCCCCTGTGGGACTTCACTGGCTTAAATATATTAAGAATGTTTCTTCTGTCATCACATAGTTTTATAATTGGACAGTGTTTACCACTATTCATTTTTTATTTATTTATATATTTGCTTATTACTTCTCACATTGACCGATTATAAAAATGGAATAGAAATATGTAAATATGGATGCCAAAAATAAATACACTCTGTATTCCTGACATCTGTCTGTAGAATACTCTCAAATGTGTGGATGGGCCAGATTTCCTCCCTGACGGACCTCAGAGTTCCAGAGATGTACTCATCGTCCATGACTCATATGCCACCAGTGGTTGTCATCATTCGGTCCAGAACTGGCCCTCCTTCCTTGGAGTTCTTTTCTACCTCGTCTGTTGATTTATTCATTAATGCAGTAATTAATAATTTTAAGTCCTACTGCTCATTAAACTGCAAGGACAGCCTTAATATCCTTAATTTGTATACAGAATCATTCTGATATTGATATTTTATCTTTCATTATTATCCTCAGTTTTGGCAGGTATGCATTTCCAATATAATACTCCACACATCACTCCCATATTTATTATTCGGATACAGTCGGCCATCTTTGATTGTAAGATGGCCGACTGTATCCGAATACAGTCTGATTCTGTATGTCTGATTCTCATAAGACATCGAATCGTCTTAAACAAACCACCCACACCCAGATAAGGACTTTGACTATTGCTCACAGCTGTCTGCAGGCTCCTTCCTCAGCACAGAGCACGTGGTCGTGGGGAATCCTCACTGCAGCACGGGTCATCCCCTTTGAGGAGTATAGAGCGGAGAAGATGATAAAGTTGACACACTCCCAGTACTGATCCCGGCTTTTGCCTGTCATTCGCTAGTCATTTACACAATCATTATGGGAGCACCAGATTTTGAGCTCGCCACTGCCCCAGAAACTGAACACTGTCTATACTTTACACCGTCTATACCATCGTTAGCCAAAGAAGTCACAGGCATGAAACATTCGCTCCCCTGTGGACTTCACTGCTTAAAAATATATTAAGAATGCTGCTTCTGTCATTACATATTTTTATAATTGGACAGTGTTTACTGCTATCAATTTTTATTTATTTATATATTTGCTTATTACTTCTCACATTGACCGATTATAAAAATGGAATAGAAATATGTAAATATGGATGCCAAAAATAAATACACTCTGTATTCCTGACATCTGTCTGTAGAATACTCTCAAATGTGTGGATGGGCCAGATTCCTTCGCCTGACGGACTCAGAGTTCCACAGACGTTACTCATCGTCCATGACTCATATGCAACCAGTGGTTGTCATCATTCGGCCCAGAACTGGCCCTCCTTCCTTGGAGTTCTTTTCTACCTCGTCTGTTGATTAATTCATTAATGCAGTAATTAATAATTTTAAGTCCTACTGCTCATAAAATTGCAAGGACAGCCTTAATATCCTTAATTTATATACAGAATCATTCTGATATTGATATGTTTATTTCATTTATTATCCTCAGTTTTGCAGGTATGCATTTCCGATATAATACTCCACACATCACTCCCACATTTATTATTCGGATACAGTCGGCCGTCCTTGATTGTAATATACACCTTCTCATAAGACATCGAATCGTCTTAAACAAACCACCCACACCCAGATAAGGGCTTTGACTATTGCTCACAGCCATCTGCAGGCTCCTTCCTCAGCAAGGTGCAAACACAGCACATGACCTTTGATGAATCCTCCAATCCGCAAAGGATGAGCGCTCTAAGGAATGTAAAGCGGAGAAGACGATAACAAGAGTGAGATGCTATCCCTAACTACTCTCCAGCTATCATTAGTCAGTTATTTAGGCAATCATTATTTGAAGTATATTTCATTCATTTTCTCTAAAGAAATGAATAATTTCAAACTTGCTATTGGCCCAGAAATTCAACATCGTCTATACTTTGTAGCGCCTACAACATCATTAGCCACAGAAATCACAGGCGCCTACCATGCATCTCTCTGTGGACTTCCTTGTTTCAATGCATATTAAGACTGTTTCGTACCTCACTACACATTTTTATACTTGGACAATGCTCAAACTTTTCCAGCTTCATTTATTTATGTATGTTTATCCACTCACACACATTGGCCAATTATAAAAATAGGATAAAAATACACAAACACAAAGGTCAAAAAATACATTCGATATTTCCGAAATCTGTCTCTAGAATCATCTAGAATAGATGCACTGGGCCAGACTACTCCTGTGACGGACCTCAGAGTACAGACGTATTCATCGAACAAAACTCATACGCCACCAGTAGTCATCATCGATCCGGGATGGGTCCTCCTATTTTCCATTCAATGCTACCTCGTCTACTGATTAATTTATTAATTTACTACTAATAACTTTAAATTCTGTGATTTACAAAATCCTATAAAGAGACTTAATATTCTTAATCTCTAAACAAAATCATTTTAACATATATATATGTTTCATTAATTATCCTTAGCTTTTCATATATGCATTATTAATACGATACTTCACACTATTGTTATTGAGATAGGATCCAGTAGGCCATCTTGACCTTGTATAAGACATTGAATCCTCTCAAACAAAACACCCAAAGCAAGATAAGGACTTTGACAATTACTCACATAGGTCTACATGCTCCTTCCTAAGCTGCACCGCACATGATGATGCAGAAATCCTTAAATCAGCACAAATATGTCCATTCTGGGGAGTATAGAGCAGAGAAGATGATAACAAAATTGAGACATTCCTGTTACTGATCCTTTCTTTTCACCTTGCCACACCCAGAACTTGGACATTGTCTATAAGATATAATGTCTTTACCATCATTGGGCAAATAGATGACAAATATGTACCATTTATTTCTCTTTGGACTTGACTGCTTTTAATATATATTAATAGTATATCCTGCCTTACCATGTATTTTTATAATTGGACAATACTTCAACCATTTTATCTTCATTTATTTACATATTTGTTTACAGATTCTCATATTGATCCAATTATAAAAATAGAATGAAAATAATATGTATACAGAAAGAAAAAAAAAAACAAACACATTCTGTGCTTCTGAAATCTTCCTATAACATCATTTGAAACAAGGAGACTAGGCCAGATTTCTTCTGTTGGCCTCAGATTACAGACGTAGTCATCGTATTCGACTCATACGCCACCAGTAGTCATCATCGGCCTGGGAGTCACCCTATTCTCTCCGTGTCTATTAAATAATTTATGAGTTCACCAATAATAACTCTAAAACCTTTGATTCATAAAAACTCAAGAATGGCACTGATATTCCTAATCTGCATAAAGAATTGCTCTAATATTGTTGTATCTCTTTCATTAGTTATCCTCGGGTTTTACATATTATCGATATGTATTAATATTGATTGATAATCAATATTATCAATATAGTACTTCCTATCGCTCTGTATCTATGCCTGAGATACACCTGGCCATCTTTTATTTATATTGTATACTTTTTAAATAATACATTAAATATCTTAAACAAAACGCCCACCCCAAGAATAGAACTTGGACTATCACTCACAGTGGTCTGCACGCTCCCAACCACGGCAAAAGCCGAGCATCTGATCCTGAAGGAATCCACAAATCAGCGCAAGTCACCAGTTCTGAGGAGTACAGAGCAGAGCAGACAACGACATTGAGACATTTGCACTAACGGGCCTGGCCGTTCCCTTTCCTGCAGTCAGTCCTTTAAACAATCATTATGTGGACTGAGATTTATTTCACTTTCTTAGGATCCTGATCTTGCAAATGACTAAGAATTTGAACATGGTCCGTAATTTATACCGTCTATAATCATAAGACAAAGAGGTAATAGGTATGTAAAATACCTCTTTGGACTTCACTGTTTTTAATATATGATGATAGTACTTCTTGGCTCCCTACATATTTTTATAATTGTACAATGCTCACCCATTTTGTCTTTATTCATTTATACATCTTTATTTATATATCTTTGGATTTTTGCATTGTTCCAATTATAAAAATAGAATCAAATTGCATGAACACCAACACCAAAAACAATTTAATCCTACATCCCTGACATGGGTCTATAGGACCACTGGAAACAGAGGGAATGGACCAGTTATCTTCTGCGATGGACCTCAGCGTTCCAGAGACGTATTCACCGTATCACCCTCATACGCCACCAGTAGTCATCATCGATCCAGGACTGGTCCTTCTCTTCTCTGTTCATTTCTACGTTATCTGTTAAGTCATTAATTCACGAACGATAACTTTAAAGCCTAACATTCAAGAAACTCTAGGAAGAGCCTTGATGAACTTAATCTCTACATAGAATCATTCTAACATGGATATATATGTTTCATTAATATTCCTGTTTTTCATAAATGCATTATCGATATAATATTCATAATCACTACCGTATCTATCACTTGGATAATATTGCCTGTCTTTGACTATATACATACTTTACAATAATAGATTGAATGCTCTTAAATGGACCATCCAAACCAAGGTAAGGACTTGGACTATTACTCACATGAGTCTGCATCTGCCTGCCAACGCACGGTGCCCACGGAGCATGGGACAGGGGAGGAATCCTCGAGTCAGAACAAGTACGTCCATTCTGGGGAATATAGAGCAAAGAAAATAACAAATTTGAGATATTGTCACCATCGAGCCTTGCTTCTCACGTTTCTTCAGTCATCTAGGCGATCATTATTTAGTGTATGGTATATTTCTTTCATTGTCCTTTAAGTAAATGAACAATTGAATTTGCCACTGACCTACAACATGAGCGTCATCTATAATTACACTGTCTGTGCCATCACTGACCAAAGATGTGACAGGCGTGTTCCATTTATCTCTCTTTGGGTTTCACTATTGTCAGTACATATTAATAGTATGTCTCGCCTCATCACATTGTTTTATAATTGGACGATGCTCCACTCATTATATTTTTATTTATTTTTATATTTCTTTACTGATTCTTACATTAGTCCAATTATAAAAACAGAATGAAAATTCATGAGCACCAAGAACAAACAAGTGCATTCTATTTCCTGACGCTGGGCTACGGGATCTCAAGAACAGAGAGGGGCCAGGTTCCTTCTGTGATGGACCTCAGCGTTCCAGAGACGTATTCATCGTGTCACCCTCATACGCCACCAGTAGTCATCATCGATCCAGGACTGCCCCTCTTGTGGCTCCCTTTGCTTTTGTGCTGTTTGTGAGTGGTTCATTAATCTACCAATAGCAATTTGGAAACCTACGGTCCACAAAATCCAAAGCAGAGCCTTGATGTTCCTGATCTCTGCATCGAATCATTCTAGTGTTGATATATCTGTTTCATTAATTATCCTCAGTTTTTCGTATGTGTAATGGCTTCCTATCACTCCCATAGAGAGTGCTAGAATACCGTTGGCCATCTTTGATTGTATTATATATTTTTTATTAATATAGTGAATATTTTTAAATAATAGTCCAGACCAAGTCAAGAATTTTTAACTACTACTCACATGGGTCTCTATGCTGCTAACAAGCAGGTGCGACACAGGGCAAGTGGCCATGCAGGAATGCGTCCATCAGCGGGTGCATCCCTCCTGCAGAGAACAGAGCAGACCAGGTGAGGGGAAAACTGGAAAGCTCATCCTGTAGGGTTCTTGCTTCCTATATTGCATTTACTTAATCATTCAGGGGCTTTATAGTCTTTCATAAGGTGTATATTTTCTCTCTTAACAAAAGGGACAACCTCTAACTGGGAACCGATTCAAAACAATAAAACAAATTCTTACTGTCAGTGTCTATAGGATCCTAAGCCAGAGAGGTAACATCTTTGACTCACTGCTTTTTTTTTTAATGGACATCGGTCTTCTCTATTTGTATTAACAATATTTCTTGCCTCACTATATATGTTCACAGTTGGACAATGCTTCACCCTTTTTTTTATCTATCTACTTATATTTTTTAATGGTTTTGTCATTGATCCATTAATACTAATAAATCTATGAATCCCAAACAGGAACATGATCTCTGTGGATTCCAAACATCTGCCTGCAGGATTCTTGCGAACAGAAGGACTAGACTAATTATGATGTGCTGCTGCTCCGACCCCCACATGTATTACTCATAGCCTGTGACTCATATGCCACCAGTCGGAATCATTGTCCCTGTGTAATCACCGGCCAACTTTTCTTCATTCACTTTCACATTTGCAGAGGCTGGATCATTACTGCAGTGAAAATAATAAAGTAAACATGAGTCAGAAAAACGCAGGAATAAAATGCCTGAGTATTGCTAATATCTACCAACGCAATCATTTCCTGTGTACATTATATCTTTTTCATTAAGCATTGCCAATGCTGCACACAGTATTGATTGATCAACGTAATTATTTCACATCATCCTTATTATTGGGCCATAAATAACTATTCGGTTGATTTTTTTTTTTTTGGACTTAAATGTATTTTATTCCAATGTCAGTTTAATATGCACATAGGAAAATTAAATATAAGTAAAATTAAGCATAAACATATGCTTATTCTTCTTATATAATATAAAATCACATTTGATTAGTATTGTTTAATACTACCATGAATACCCTCAACTGAATGACTGGAACCAAGACAGGGGCATTGAGTCTACTGACACTGGGCTCTTTTTGAACAAAGCAGTAGCATAAGAAAGGTGATCATGGCAATGATGTTTAGATTAGCTCAGTGATTCTGTTTTGAAGAGTAGCAAGCAGAGATGATAAAAAGATTGAGATATTTTGTTCATTGATCTATAATTTCTGTTTTTCATTTAGGTATTTATTAATTTATGGTAATATTTATTTTCTTCTCTTAAAACAAACTTCAAACTTATCACTGGCTTGGGGCAATAAATATTACTTATTAGTAATTATTATTATTATTATTGCCTATATCACCTTTAGTGATATACTGGGTCCATTTGTTATCCACACCAAAATGTACATGAATGGTATTTTCCCTTACTATACACTGTAATAATGAACAGTGCTTCACTCTATCCATTTTGACTCAATTGTGCATCTATTTGTTTATTCTGCCATTGATACTTTTATGATAGTGTTTTTAAAATTCATGAACACAAGATTAAGAAGAAGATCCTTGCATATTCCTGATATCTGTCTACTGTATCACTTTAAACATGGCAATGGGCTAGATCCTATTTGTGTTGGGCCTCAAAGTTTCAGGCACCTAGTATTCATCATAAACAACAATCATACACAAAGACATCCTGTGGTCCCCAACCCCTGAGCTGCAGATGGGCCTGCAGACCTCTGCTTGCCTCCCCCTCCCTCCAGTCCCCCTAACCATGGAAAAATTGTCTTCCATGAGACTGGCCCCTGGTACCAGAAAGGTGGGGGAACTTCTGAACATTGGTGGTCCAAGATTCGCCTTCTTATCTATACTTACTTATTGACTACTTCATTAATAAAAATTTATGTAATCCACAAAAAACAAGAATAAGATCTTCAATATCCTTAACATTCATCCATACTACCATTTACAAAGAGCCTAAATCCCTTTCTTTAACTGAACTCAGTGTTCCAGTTATGTATCAATCAACATAATACCTCACAGCTATCTGATATGGTTGACCTTCTTTGAATCACTCAAACCAAGACAGCTTTGTTGCTCACACTGGTCTCCATGCCCCTGACACATAGATGTGGACTCGTGATCCTAGACTAAATCAGCTGTCCATCTGAGGAGTACATGGCACAGCAAACGATGAAAAAATTGAGACATTCTCTCCACTGATCCATAGATTCCTCCATCCCTTTATACAGTCATTTGGGTTAAATTAAATTTATGGTAATATTTATTTATTTTTCTCTTAATGAATCAAATACCAAATATGCAACTCATCAAAAACTGTTTCCTATCACGTTTTATCAACTTTAGTCTAAGACAAAATACACTTGCTCCATTACTACAATGTATATCAATATCAATTTTCCTTACTATCTATTTTCACAATGAGCATGCTTCACTGCCTTGATATTTGTTTATTATATATATTTTTTTAGTATTTATCCTACCACTTATACTTAATAATGTTATTCTTTAAGAATTCATGAACACAAAAGCCAAAAACAAGACCCTTGTATATCCCTGACATCAATTGGACAGTTGGACAGTTGAAACAGAGGAATAGACAGACTCACGCTGGTCTGCAGGCTCCCAAGACACAGGTGCGGCCGTAGAGCTAGAGACCACGGAAGAGTGCCTAAGTGAGCCAAGTGGGTCCATTCTGAGGAGTACAAAGCAGAACAGATAGTACAATAAATTGAGACATTGCTCCAATGATCCTCCCTTTTCACCTTTCATTTATTTAGCCAGTCACTTACGCAATCATTATTCAGAATATATTTGTTTCATATTCTTTTAAGAAACCAAACAACTTTGAATTTGCCATGGACATAGAATGTTATTGATTCTGTCCATAAGCACAAAAACGAAGGCAAAAAGCTAGATTTTTGCATACTTCTGACATCTGTCTATAGTATCCCTTCAAACAGAACAGGGTGGACACGATTCCTTTTGTGTTGGACCTCAGAGTTCAAGACCCACAGTGTTCATCATGTTCGACTCAAACTCCACCAGTCGTCATCATTGGTCCAGGAATGGCCCACCTGTTCTTCACTTATCTCTACACTGTTGATTAATTCAGGAATTCACTAATAATAAGTTTAAAGTGCTATGATGCACAAAACTGAAAAAGGCCTCGATATCACTCATATGTCTATAGAATCATTTTCAGATCACTACATCTCTTTTACTGAATATCCTGATTTTTCTTAAATGAAGTAATCAATAGAATACTCCATGTCGATCCCATGTTTGTCAATGGGCTGCGATTGGCCTTCTTTTATTATATTACAAAATTTTTAATACTCCAGTGAATACCCTTAAGCAAACCACTCAGGCCAAGACAAAAACACTACTCACAAGGGTCTGCAGGCTCCCAGTGCGTGAATCTACTGGAGTGAGTCCATTCTGGGGTGAAGAAAGTAGGGCTGTTGATTTAAAAAAAAAAAAAAGAGAGACCCAATGTCCACTGTTCCTTGTTTTACATCTATAATGTAGGTGCTCATTTAGGATCATGAAATCATTCATTTGGATGATACCATTTCATCATTTTCTCATTTGATTTCATGTTTTCAACACACATTAACTGTATTTCTTGCCTTGGCACATATTTCTAAATTTGGAGAAAGTTTCACCTATTTTATCTCGATTTATCTATATACTTGTCTATCAATTCTCTCATTGATCCAATTATAGTACTAGAATGAAGTGCATGAAAAGAAAGGCCAGTTTCCTTTTGCATTGGACTTCAGAGTTCCAGATTATTCATCATCCAAGATTCATACCCCAGCCGCTGTCATCATCAGTCCAGGAAAGGCCCACTTTTCTTTCATTCACTTCTGAATTATTTATCAATCAATTCAGTAATTCTACTTTAAAAGCTCTTTGATTCACAAAAATCTCAGAGACTTGATATCACTAATATGTACCTAGAATCATTCTCACTTCAACATATCTCTTTCATTAACTATCCCTGCATTTCACATATGCATGAAACATGCACTACTTCATATTAACTCCGTGTTCGTTACTAGGCTACAGTCCGCGTAGCCTTTGGTTATTATTTCACGCTTTTTAACAATACAGAGACTACCCTTAAACGAACCACCCAAAACGAGACAAGAACGTCCTCATCACTCACACTCTTCTCTGGGCTCCTATCACAGAGGCGCGACCGACAAGCTTCTGGCCAAGGAAGAATTCCTAAATCGGTTTGCGTGGGTCCATTCTGAGAAATACAAATCAGAGGAAATGATAAAAACATTGAGACTTCCTCGAGCGAAAGAACAAAGCCAAGATCCCAGCTACAGGATCGTGTCAGAGGGGACGGACTGAGGACCTTCCACGCTGGACCTCAGAGTGCCACACGTATTCATCGTCCGTGACTCATACGCCACAAGTCGTCATCATTCGGTCCAGCCTTGGCCCTCTTACTTTACTCTCACCTACGTCTGTCTATTCATTCATTAAACCACAAAATGGTAATTTTAAAATGCTACTATTCACTAAAACTCAAGAAGAGCCTTTCTATCCTTAATCTATGTATAGAATTATTCTCACACCAATATAGCATTTTATTAATTATCCTCAGTTTTTCATATATGCATCCATTGCTGTATCATTTCCTATATCCCATCTATATCTCTGGGATACCTTTGCATTCTTTAATTATATTTCATACTTTTTAATAATACACTGAAAGATACTAACATAAAAAATAATATGGAAACCAGGAAAAGAATTTAAATCATTACTTACTTTGATCTCTGTGCTCTTAATATACACAGATAACCACAGAGCTTGTGACCATGGAAGAATGTTTAAATCATCTTGAATGTGTCCATCCTAGGAGTACAAGGCAGAGCAGATGATAAAAAAATTAAGAGCTTATCTCCCTTGATTCTTGCTTTCTGCATTCCATTTACTCAGTCGTTTAGGTATTTGTTACTTGTTCATTATGAGTGGGTGTATACACATATTTTTTAATCATAACACAAGGAACACTTCCATCTTGAGTCTAACCTAGAATAATAAAATTAGACTCTTGCTTATATGATTCTTACCCAAGTGGTAAGATAAATTGCTCAAAGTGGTAAATAAATATGCATTTGTTTCTAAATGGCTATCAGTGTTTTCAAATTTTATTAATATTTCTTATCTCCACATAAACGTGCATAGACAATGCTCGATGCTCTTCTTTATATGTTAATTTATATTAGTTTAGTGAATCTGTCACTGAGCTATTGACAATAATAAAGCTAAATGAACTGAATCAATATGAGGGCATTGTCTTTATATATTCCTTACATTTCTCCATAGAGACAATTCCAACAAAAGGAATCAACTAATTAGATTTTGTGTTGGACCCTCAATTTCAAACACGAATTATTCATCGTACATGACTCAAACGCCACCAGTTGTCATCACTGGTCCATGACTGAGTCTCACTTTCTTCATTTGTTCCTACATTTTTATCATTTAAAGGATTATTTTATTAATATTAAATAAAAATAGATACATGGTTCAAAAAAGCCCAAGGTCCTTAAATATCTATAACAACTATCTATAGAATTATTTTTAATGTAGACTATCTTTCATTAATTGACCTCAGTGTTGCACATGATAAATTAAACAACATGATGTTTCATATCATACTTGTCAACGAGCCAAGGTTAATTTTTTATTAATTCAATATGTTTAAATTTTTTTTTTTTAGAGACGGGGTCTCACTGTGCCCAGGCTGTGCTCAGACTGGTGTCGAACCCCTAAAGCAGCAGCTATCCGCCCGCCTCGGCCTCCCAGAAAGCTAGGACGACAGGCGTGAGCCACCGCGCCCGGCCAGGTTTAAATTTTTATTTAAATTGTATGCATTTTTCATGTGCAACATGATGTCCTGAAGCATATATATATATATAGTGGAATAACTAAATCTATCTCATTAACATAGGAATTACTTCACATAGCTATTTTTATGGTAAAAACACTTAACATCCCCTTCTCAGCCTTTTTTGAGAATACAATATATTGTTATTAAATATAGTCACCATGTTGTACAATGTATCTCTTGAACTTACTTCTATCTTCCTGAATAATTTAATACTTTTTATAATAATGCCATGAATGCCCTCAAGCAAATCACCCACGCCAAGATAAGAAGTTTGCGTAGAGTTCACCGTGGTCTTTTTCCCAACGCAGAGGCAACATAATAATCTTGACCAGAGCGGAACACTTTCAGCCAGCTGGGTGCATCCATTCTGAAGAGTAGAAAGCACAGAAGACGATAAAAACATTGAGACCTTCTTTCCATTGATCCACATTTTCTACCATTCATGAACATAGTCTTCTACCATTATTGAATGGTAATATTTATTTTTTTCTCCTAATAAACTACAAACTTATAACTGAGAGTGATTACTGACTATTACCACAGTCTGTGCCATCCTTAGTCCAAGACATAATGCATTTCATCCATATATTATTCATTCTAATTTATATTAATAACCATTTTCCTTACTATACACTTTAGTGATTAACAAGGCTTTAGCCTCTTCATATCCATTCATTTATATATTTGTTTATTCATCCTACCCTTGATTCTTCTACATAATATTTTTTTAAATTCCTAAACACAGAGATCAAGAACAAGACCCTTGTACATGCTGACATCTGTCCGTAGGATCCCTTTGCAAAGGGGCAGTGGACTAGACCCCGTTTTCGCTGGACCTCAGAGTTCCCACACAGTATTCATGGTGCATAACTCATACGCCACCAGTGGTCATCATTGGCCCAGGGTCATTTCCACTTCACACTAACACAAATTTGTCTGTTGGTTGATTCATAATAAAGAAATACACGTAAATCACAGAATACAGGAACGATCCATGAAGATCTCTAACATCGACCCCACAGATTCATTTCCACAGAGGCTAAATCTCTTCAGTATCGTCCTCAGTGGTCCACACATGGACTAAGCACTGTAGTGCTTTTATTGATCTGAGCCTCTTTGGGACCCTTTGATTATATTTAATACATTTTAGTAATTCAGTAAATACCTTTAACAAAAAGCCACTCAAACAAATACAAGAACCACCAAACTATCACTCACATGGGTCTTCGCGCTGCAACCCAGAGATGCAACGAACAGGCTGGAACCACCTCGAAGTTGTCCATTCTGCGGAGTACAGAGCAGAACAGATGATTAAAGAAACGAGACATTCCTCCACCGGTCCTCGCTTATCATCTCCCACTTAGTCACTCTTTTGGCAGTCCTTATTTGGAACGTATTTATTTCCTTTAATCTTAAAATAAACCACTTTGGACTTGCCACTGACCCAGAACAAAAACATCATCTATAATTTATACTGACTATATATCACCCTTAGCCAAAAAGAAGTCATGCACCATTTCCTTCTCCTTTGGATTTCAGTGTTTTCAATATACGTAATAGCATTTCTTGCCTTGCCACGAATTTTTATAATGGGACAATGCTTCACCCATTTTATTTTGATTTATTTATACATTTGCTTATTGGTTCTTTCATTGAGCCAGCCATAATAATGTAATAGAAATGAACGGGCAGAAAGACCACATTCCCTTTGTGATGGACCTCAGAGTTCCAGACCCGTAGTCATTGTCTCACGCTCGTAAGCCACCAGTTAGTCATCATCGATCCAGGACTGGTCCTTCTTTCCCCCATTCATTTCTGCATTGTCCGTTGATTAAATCATTAATTCACTAATAATAGTTTAGAACCCCAGGGTCCACAAAGCCCAAGAAGAGGCTTGACATTCCTAATCTGTATATAGAATCATCTCACATCAATATAGCTCCTTCATTAACTATACTGGGTTTTACACATGAATTAATCAACATAATACTTTATATAAATTTCATTTTTGTCACTGGTAACCACTGGCCTTATGTGATTATATTTCACATTTTTTAATAATATAGTGAATATCCTTAAACAAAGCACCCAAAGCATAACAAAAGTTTTGACTATCACTCACATTGATCTCCAGGTCCTCAGTACAGATGCAACCGCAGAGCTCAGAACCAATCAGCCCAGATGGGTCCATTGTGAGGAAAACAGAACAGGGCAGATAAAAAGAAAAAAGAAAAAAAAAAACCTAAGACATTCTTTCCACTTGTCCTTGCTTTTCACCTTTCATTCAGTCAGTCATTTAGGCAAACATTAATCTAAAGTAATTTTTTTTTTCCTCTTAAGAAAATGAACAAATTGAAAATTGCCACATACCCAGAACATGAACACTATCTGTAAATTATACTATCTATTTCATCCTTAGCCAAGGAGGTGACAGGTACAAATTTATTTTGAATCGGAATTCAGTGGTTTCGTAATATATTAATAATGTTTCTTGGCCCAACACTTATTTTTAATTGAATAATATTTCATTAATTTATTTACTTATTGATTCTCTCATTGATCCAATTCTAACAGAATGAAAATATATGAACACAAAGGTCAAGACAAGGGATCTTGTCTATTCCTAACCTGCGTCTAGAGGGTGCCTTAGACCAAGACATTTGTGACATATGGTCACATCGTATATGGCTCCCATGACACCAGCCCATCACTAACCCGTGTTTGGCCTCTTAATTCTCATTCATTTCTGCATTTATTTTGAATAAGCCATTAATTAATTCATAAGAATAAAATAACAGATTCACAAAAACCTACGAACACGATGCCTGACATTTCCAACATCTGTCTACAGAACCCTTTTCCACATTAGACTAAGCCTTTCTCATTAATCAATCTCCAAGTGGCACATTAACAATTAATAAGCATAATGTCCCATATCATATTTATCACTGGGCCATGGTTAGCTTCTGACTAATTTAAAATTTTTAATAATATCATGAGCACCTTAAGTTGACTACGCAAAGGAAAACAAGAATTTGGCTATTACTCACGTCGTTCCCTTTCTAAACACAACAGCAGTACGAGAAAAGTCTCCAACGTGCCAGAATGCTTACATCAGCCTGGTGCATCCATTCTAGAAGGCACAGAGCAGAGAGAGGACAAAAACATTGAGACATTCTCTCCACTGACCCGTACATTATAGGATTCATCTACATTATCACTTTGGCTTTTATTAATGTATCTAATATTCATTGTCTTCTTGATAAAATAGACTTTAATGATTGAGAGTAATAACTATTAACTATCACAGTCTATATATCATCCATTCTAATTTATATTACAATTCATCTTCCTTAATACATATTTTATTAAAAAACAATGCTTCGCCCTCTCTTATCTTTCCTCATTTATTTTTCCTGCCCTTGATTCTTTCACAAGAATAATTTTTAAATTTATGAACACACAGATCAAGAACAAGACCCTTGCATAAGCTGACATCTGCCCGTAGGATCCCTTTAAAAAGGGAGAATGGACTAGATTACTGCCTTCGCTGGACCTCAGTTCCAGACACGGTATTCATGGTGAATAACTCATACGCCACCAGTCGTCATCACAGGTCCAGGATTGGCCCTAGTTCTCTGTTGTCATCTACACACATATTGAGTGATTCTTACTAACAGTAAGATTCCTGAACACCCCTAACATCCATCTATATAATCATTTCCACAGAGGCCAAATTTCTTCCCTTAACTGAGCTAAGTGCATCATACATGCATTACTCAAAAGAATGCTTATGGATCGGATATTTAACGTTGGCAGGTATCCCTTCTTTGATTATATTTAATACTTCGCACAGTATATACCTCTTCTAAAAAAGCTCCATGTAATACAAGAACATTGACTGCTACTCACATGGCTCCTTATGCTCCTAAGACATGGATGCAACCAGGGAGCTTGTGACCACGGAAGAATGCCTGCCTCAACACGAGTGTGTCCATTCTGAGGATGACACAGCGGAAGAGAGATTTAAAAGGGTTGCAACATCATCTCCATCGGTCCTTGAATTCCCCCTCTTATTTAGTCAGTCATATATAATTAGTAACTTGGAGTAATGTTTATTTTATTTTCTCCTATGTAAACTAACATTATCGGTCTTGCTATTGACCCAGAATGTGAACACTGACATTTACCTAATACTGTCCACAGCATCCTTAGCCAAAGAGGTAGCAGTTATGTACCATTTATTTCTCTGTGGATGTAAGTTTTCAATATACAGCAATAGTATTTCTTGCCTCCCCACCTGCTTTTATAACTGGACAATGCCTCAAATGAGTCATCTTTATTTATATATTTGACTGTTGATTCTTTTATTGATCCCAATTATAAGAACAGAATGTAAGTGCATGAGAAAAGGGCTTGTTTTCTTTGTGTTGGACCTCAGAGTTCCAGAGATGTAGTTCATCATCCAAGACTCATACCCCGGCAGTTGTCATCATTGGTCCAGGAAAGGCCCACTTTCTCTTCATGCAATTTTACATTCTTTTATTAACCCACTAATCTATGACTAATACTTGTAAAAAGCCTATTTTATATTTTTTAACAATATAGTAAATACCCTTAAACAAACCACCCAAACCACACAAGAACTTCGACTATTACTCACATCGGTCTCTTTGGTAACACAGGGATAACACAAGTTATCTCGATCAAGGCAAAAATCCTTAAATCAGCCGGGTGCATCTATTCTGAGGAGCACAAAGCAGAGAGATGACAAAAACATTGAGACATCCTCTCCATCCATCCATATATTCTACCATTCATTGGCATCATCACTCTGGCCTTTATTAATTTATGGTAATTTTTTTCTTAATAAAATAGACTTCAAAGTTGCAACTGATCAAGTAATAACTAGTAACTATCCTAGTCAATGTCATCCTTAGTCCAAGACGTAATACCTTCATCTATATATTATCCATTCCAATTAATATTAACATCCATTTTCCTTAATGCATATTTTAGTATAAAATAATGCTTTACCCTATTCATCTCTATTTATTTATAAATCTGTTTATTTACCCTACCCCTGATTGCCTTACAATAATATTTTTTAAATTCATGAACACCCAGATCAAGAACAAGACCCTTGTGTATGCTGACATCTGTCCACTGGAGCCCTTCACAAAGGGGAAGTGGACTAGATAGATCCTGCCTTCCCTGGACCTCAGTTCCAGACACAGAATTCATGGTGTATCACTCATACGCCACCAGTCGTCATCATTGGCCCAGGACAGGTCTCCTTTCTCCATTACCATCTACGTTAGTTTATTGATTAACTCATTAATAAAGAAATACACATAAATCTCAAAAAAATAAGATTCTCAAGTATCCCTAACAGCCACCTATATAATCATTTCCACAAAGAAATGAAAGAAATTTCTTTCAGTAACGGAGCTCATATGGATTAATCAATCTAATGTTCCATGTCAATCTGATTTGGAACATTGGCATGTTCCATCTTCTTTGACTATATTTAACACTTTTTTAAATACTATAACAAATAACTTTTAGAAAAATAGTCAAAACAAGAAATTGACTACTACTCACATGGCTCTTGATGTTCCTGATATATAGACGCATCCACAAAGCCTGTGGCCATGGACCAGTGCGTAAGCAATCTCGAAAGCATCCATGCTGAGGATTATAGAGCACAGCAGATCATAAAAAGATGAGATATCCATCCTTGGTCTTTGCTTATCATCTTTCCTTTAGTCAATCATTTGAGAAGTCATTGTTTGGAAGGACACTTATTTCATTTTCTTTAAGAAAATGAACAACTTGGAATTTTCCTTGACTCAGATGTTGACCATTTTCTATTAATTACACTGTCTATGTCATCCTTAGTTAAAGAAGTTACAATGGTGTAATATTTCTTTCTCTTGGAACTTCAACATTTTAAACATGTAATAATAATACATCTTATCTCACCACTTATTTTATCATTGGATAGTACTTCATTCACAATCTTCATATATATGTACATAAATTATTTCATTGATCCAATTATAACAATAGAAGGAAGTGAATGAATACAAAGGTGAAAACCCAATACATTGTATGTTCCTGGCATCTATCTATAGGGTCATTTGAAACCGAGGGAATAGGCCAGATTTCTTTTGTGATGGATCTCAGAGTTCCACACCCGTAGTCATGGTATCACACTCATATGCCACAAGTAGTCATCATCGATCCAGGATTGGTCATCTTTTTCTCCATTCATTTCTACCTTGTTTATTGATAAAATCATTTATTCATTATTATTATTATTATTAATGATAATTTTACGCCTTATGAGTCATAGAACCCCAAGAATAACATTGATATTCCTAATCTGTATCTAGAATCATTCTAACATTGATATATCTGTTTTACCAATGATCTTCAGTTTATTATATATGCATTATAAATATAATACTTCATATCACTCCCATATCTATCATTGGGATAACACCCATCTTTGACTATATTTCACACTTTTTTTTTATTTTGTATTTTTTTAATAAATTTTAAATTTCATAAAATTAGTTCCCAGCTAATTATTTCAATTTTTTTTAGGAGAGACTGGGTCTCGCTCTTGCTCAGGCTGTCTCAAACTCCTGACCTCGAACGATCCTCACGCCTTGGCCTCCCAGAGTGCTAGGATTACAGGCGTGAGCCACAGCGCCCGGCCTCACACTTTTTAAATGATAAATTACTCCTAAACAAACCAGTTGACTATTACTCACAGGGGTCTGCATCCTCCTTCTGAGGCATGGTGCAAACAGCATGTGGCCATGGAAGAGTCCTCAAATCAGAACAAGCACGTCCATTCTGAGGAGTATAGAGCAGAGAAGAGGAAAACAAAATTGAGACATTCTCATTATTGATCCTTGCTTTTCACTTATCGTTAATCATTTAGGCCATCATTCTTTGTATATATTTATTCCATTTTCTCTTTAGAAAATGAATCATTTTAAACTTGTCACTGATCCAGAAATTAAACATTATCTATAATTTAATCTGTCTAAGCCATCATTAGCCAAAGAGGTGTCAGGCTTGTGCCATTTATTTACTCTTTGGACATCACTGTTTCCAATGTACATTAATGGTATTTCTTGCCTCACCACATATTTTTATAATTGGATTCTGCTTCACCCATTATATCTTTATTTATCTTTATGTTTATTTATTGATTCTTGCATTGATCCAATTATAAAAATAGAATGAAAATATGCAACCACAAAGAAAAACAAGTACATTCTGCATTTCTGAAATCTGTCTATGACACTACTCGACAGAGAGAGGCTACCAAGGATCCTCTTCAATGGACCTCAGATTACCGACGTAGTCATCGTTTACGACTCATACGCCACCAGTAGTCATCATCGATCCAAACTTGCTATTCCCTTTCTCTATTCATTTCTACATTCTCTTTTGATTAATTCATTAATTCACTACTAAATTTTAAACCTTGTTATTCAAGAAAACCCAGGCACAGCTTTGGTATTTCTAATTCTTTATATAGAATCATCTCACATCGATGTTATCTCCCTTATTATCTTTAGTTTTTCATGTATCGGTTAATCCATAGAGTGTTTTTCACATCAATTCCTTATTTGTCACGGGGCTTCGATTCACTCTTTTCAATAGTCTCGTGAAACGCCCCAAACTAAGATGAGGACTTTGATTATGACTCACATTGGTCTCCACGCTCCCAGTGCAGAGGCGAACCACAGGGCGTGTGGCCACCGCAGACCTCGGGACAGCAGGAAGCCTCCACCTTGAGGAACACAAAGTAGGGCAGACTATAAAAGACTGATAAATTCTCTTCAGTAATCATTGCTTTTCCACTTACTAAATTGTTTAAATATTTACTAATTGATATTACTTTTCGCTTCTCCTTAAAAATAAGGACAACATGGTACTCGCCCGTGTTCCAGAACAACACTGGCTATTCTTTGTCACTGCCTAGGTGACCCTTTTCCAAAGAGGTAACATCCCTGCTCCCTTTGTTCACTTATGGATGTTAATACTTCCAAATTATAACAATAGCGTCTCTTGCTTTGTCTCATATTTTTATAATTAGACAATGCTTCCCCCTCTTCATAGTTCTTTATGCAATTGTAGAAATTTTGTCCTCAATTTTTTATAATACAATCAAAATGCATGAACCGCAAAAGTTCAAGGACATTATCTTTGTGTACACCAATCTTTCTGTAGGATTACTTCTAACAAAGACAATAGACTAGATCTCTTTCTACATAGTCCCTCAGACTTTCAGACATGTATTATTCATTGTCCATGATTTAATATGCCACCAGTCATCATCACTGGGTCAGGATTTGCATCTTTTTCTGCATTCATTTCCATGTTTATTGATTTGTTAGTTTTCCAGTTGAATAAAAATAATAAAATAAATTTACATGAGTCGCAAAAGCCATAAGACAATATGCTTAAGTATCCATAACAACTGTCTAGGGACTCATTTCCCTTAGCAACTGTATCTTTCATTAATTAATCTCGGTGTTGCACAAATTCACTAACAAACATATATTTCCTACCAGTCCCATAGTGGCCTATATAGATGATCTCGTTGATTAAATACATTTTTTAAATAATACAGTCAATATTCTTAAACAAGCCACTTACACCAAGACAAGTGCTTTTCCAATTACTCACATTGGTTTCTATGCTCATGACACACAGAGTTCATGGTCACAGTGGAATGTTTACATCAGCTAGGTGCACTCATTCTAAGGAGCATAAGCAATGCAGATAATAAAATGCAGAGGCATCCTTTCCATTAATAAATACATGCTGTTCCCATTTCATTTTCTCAGTCACTTAGATATTTATTATTGTATGGTGTAATTAATTTTTTCCCCTTAAGAAAACAACCACTTGAACTCATCACTGACTCAAAGCAAGAACCTATTATATATCACTACCTTGCCCACTTATCCTTACCCAGAAATGTAACCCCTTTGATACACATATTACTCAATAAACTCCAGTGGTTCTATATTATATTAACAACAATGCTTGCCTCACCACATATTTTCATAATTGGGTATGCTTCAACCTCTTCATCTTTATACATTAACATATTTGTTTATTCTTTCGTTTATTGACTAATAATAATAAAATCAAAATCCATGAAACACTTAAGACCGAGAACGTGATCCTTGAATATTATTGAAATATATCCGTACGCTCATTCCCACAAATGTAAACACTTAAATCCCTATTTCTAAACAGACCTCAGTAGGTCACATATCTTTTGATCATAAAACACAATTCAGAATGCATTTCATTCACATCGCTGGCCCTTCCTTGGCCTTTTTTTTCCACGTAATTTGTATATTCTTTCTACATAAAACACAAATCCACCATCATAACTAAAACACTGACAAGCACTTAACGTCTCTTATGTGCTCCTTCTTCACAATAAAAATAGCTTATGTCTTAACCACTTACGGGATGTTTAGAGAAAACCATACAATAGAATTTTAAAAAGCTATAATGATCGGTGACATGGACTTGACATTTTTTTAATAATCATCCTAAGTAACACTGAATCTAATTAATCATAAACTGTAGTTCCTCATCATTAGTATAGACTTGTCCTCGTTTGTTTTTATTCATGTGTGTCATCATTTACCCATTTTAAATATGCACAGTGAACATGCATGAAAAACCACTTGAGGGACAAGAACAACGCCCATTTCTGTGGTTTCTAGGCACCTAAACATATAGGTACTCTAGAGCTCTTGGTCTTTTCGGAATGCTTAAATCAACTGAAGAGCAGCCATTTTGTGCAATGTAACAATGATGGTAAAAGAATGGGACATTTTCTCCATGGAACCATGCTGTTCCCTTTTCATTTACTTAAAGCTTAAATATTTATTAGTTAGTGTATTTACTACTTTCTTTTTCTTAAAATAAACAACCTGGAACTCACCACTGACACAGAGCAAGGGCATTAACGGTTACATATATCTGACAATGTCAGTGATTCTCAAAATGTTTCCCACTAAGCAGCATCAGCGTAACTTGGGAACTTATTAGGAACTGTTAGAAATTAACTGATTAGAAATTTCAGACTCTCAGACTCCACAACAACCACACTGAATCAGAAATACTGGGAGCATAGCTGCAATCTGTATTTTAACTGGCCCCCCAGGTAATTCTAATGTTCATGCCTGAGAACCACCCTAAACTAGAGAAGAATCTCCCTTGATCTACCAGTTTCTTAATGCACTGCAGTGCTTTAGAATTATATGCTCAAAAATTTCTATCTGATAGCATTTTTTCTTAATCCAGCTTTGCTTTCTTTATCTTTATTTATTTATGGGGGTAGGTATGTCTTACTGATTCTTTCATTTATTCCCTTAGAATAAAACAATAGATCTCCAAATCTACCAAAACCCCATCGTTCGATCCTTGAAAATTACTGAAACCTACAGACTTATTTAACAAATATGTCTATATTCAATACATATTTATGTTTATTGACTCACTGATAATAAGATTAATATGCATGAACAACCCACCAAAGACAAAAGACAAGTTTCTGGAATACTCCTAATATCTCTGTCAACAAGCTCATTTCCAAGAGAGGTAATAGATTCTCTTTGTAGTGAACTATAAAAATGGTGTGAAAATATAATTATACACCTTAGTTCATATTTTATTCTATTCATATCATTGGTCCATGCTTGACCTTTTTTATTTAAATTATACATTGTAGTAAAATGTAATGATGAACCAGAAGAATGTACCACTTGACCCTATGATAATGACAACCATTTACTGCATATATGTTCCTTTCTTGTGGAGTTAACAGACCAGACTATTGAACAATATAGGAAAGTTTATGTAAACTATGAGAAATGCTAAAACAAACTATTAAACAATGATAAAATGACTAAAATGGCATCAATCTTTCTCTTTTCACAGTTGTCCACAATCGTACCACATTAGATTGTCTCTAATCTGCAGTTCATAATCGATTCTCACTCTTTGTCTCCTTTGAGTTTATTTAGGTGTAAAACCGTTTATCTACCTTTTACAGTGCTGTAAACATCAACGAATAACTCACCCAACCAAAACCTAAGTCGTCCTCTCCACTTATCTTTGCTTTATTTAATTTACCCAGTCACTTAATTCTTTGTTAATTTTTCCTAACATGTTTGTTCTTAACAAAGCCAACCTCAAATTGACTGCCCAGAGCAGGAAAGCTGACTCTTACTTATCAGTGTCTCTAGGATCATTAATCAAAGAGGTAGCACCCTTGGATCCAATTATTTCTTTATGGGAATCAGTGTTCTCATTTTATGTCAATCGTTTATCTTGCCTCACCACATATATCATGGTTGAAGAATGAATATTTATTCATTTAGCCATCTTTGTATTGATTAGATTATATATTTGTTCAATACTTCTATCATGGATCAATTTATAATAATAATACAGCAACCCATGAATCCAAAATTTAAAAAAATTAGATGCTTATATATTCTTTTATTTTTTATTTTTTTTTATTTCAGGAAACTATGGGGGTACAAACATTTTTGTTACATGTTATGACCTTGTCAGGTCATGTACAAATGACCCTAGGAAATAGACCTGATTTCATTTTCTACACACCTCAGAGTTCCAGACATATAGTTTTTATTTATCATTCATGACTCACACACCTGTGATAGTAATTACTGGTCCAGGTGTAGGTGTCTTTTTCTTCATACTAATCTACATTTGTTTACTGATTCTCACTCCATCAATAATAACGAAATAATTATCTGTGAATCACAAAATCTCCAGAAAAAGAAAGATTCTTAAGTATCTCTAACATCTATCAATAGAATCATTTATGTCATTAAGTATACCTCTTTCATTAATCATCCTCATTGTTAAAAAATTGATTAATCAACATGATGTTTCATGTCAAACCTATACTTATCATTGGGCCATGATTGGCCTTCCTTGATTATATTTAGTACTTTAAAAAATACTCAGTAAATATCCAAGACAAACCACACACACACACACAAAAAGACAGGAACACTATGTATAACTCACTTTGGTCTCCATGCGCCTACACACAGGGGCACCGGCGGAGCTCGTAGACGCTTCTATGGGTTCAGGTGTGTCCACTCCGACAATTACAAAGCACAGCAGATGAAAATACATTTGAGACATTCTCTCTACTGATCCTTGTATTAATATTTTGAGATATATATTGATTTGGGGCAATATATGTTACACTTTAACTTAAGAAAAATAAATATCAAACTATCCACACTAGCCTAGAGCAAAAATATGGGCAATTATTTATATCATCTGTATAATCCTGAACTATTTGGGCTTTTTTGATATATATATGTGTATATTCTCTTGCCACTTCATTTTTTTTCTAATTTATATCTGTACATTGATTCTTTTATTATTTATCCACTTATTATGATATGATCAAAATCCATAAACAATAAAAAAAAGCCAAAACAAGATCTTTATATATTCCCCAATAATCTATAGGATCATTTCCAAAAGAGGCAATAACCTAGATTCTTTTCTTGCTGGACCTCAGAGTTCCAGACACGTGTTAATAGTATACAACTCATAGGCCACTAGCGGTCATCATAGACCCAAACCTGGCTCTCATTTTCTTCATTCATGTCTACATGGTATCATCAATTTAATATATCAGTGCACTAATAATAATAAAATAAATACCAAGAGTCACAAAAACTAGATAACAAGAGGCTTGGTATTTCCAACATCTGCCTGTAGAATAATCTCCTATAGCTACACCACTCTTCCATTAATTGACCTCAATGTCACATATATATTAATTACACTTTTATGACTAGGCCATGGCTGCTGGTCACTGATCATATTTTACGCTTTTTAAATAATACAGTAAATACTATCTAACAGAACACCCAAACTGAGACAAGAATTTTGACTGTTACTCACCTTGGTCTTCGTGCTCCTAACACAGAGTTAATCACCACTTCGTGTCCATAGAAGTCAAAGTCTCTCCGTGTCCGCAGGAGAATGCTAAAATCAGCCTGGGTGTGCCCATTCTGAGGAGTACAGAGGAGAAAATAAAGAACATTGATTGAGACCTCATCTCCAAAACACAAAAGATGGTCTTTGTATGTTCCAACCATCCATGGATAGGATCGTCTGGGACAAAGACGATAACCTAGAGCCTTTTCTTCTTGGATCTCAGAGTTCCAGATACGTATTCATCATCCAGGGCTCACACGCCACCAGGCGTCATCACTGACCCACAACCGAGTGTCTTTCTCAGCACTCATGTCTACGCTTTCATTTAATAAAACATTTATTTGTGGATAATTACAAAATGAATACATAATTTACAAAACCCAAGAAAAAGATATTTGAATAGCCCTACTATAGTCTACGGAATCGTTTCCCACAGAAACTACATCTCTTTGATGAATTGCCCCTGATGTGGCACTGTCACCAGGCCACAGTTAACTTTTTATGATATTAATAATGCTGGGAATATCTTTAAACAAATGACCCAAACAAAGACAAGAAATTTCACTGTTACTCACATTGGCCTGACACAGAGGTGGCATAATCCAGATCACAGCGAGACACTGAAGCCAGCTCAGGGCATCCACTCTGAAGAGTGCAAAACAGAAAAGACGATAAAAACATTGAGACGCTCTGTCCATGGAGCCATGTTTCCCGCCACCCATTTGCATAGTCACTTAAGTATTTATTAATTTACAGACATATTTATGATTTTTTTGCTCCTAATGCAACAAATGTCAAACTTGCAACTGACACAGAGCAATAACCACCACATAACACGCTATGTGGTCTCCAGTCAGAGATGCAACTATAACCAACCCATTAATTGTCTTCCCCTGTCAATTTACACTGGCATTCTTCTTCCTACTGTACATTTTGGCCATGTACAGCACAAACAATGCTTCACCTTCTCCTTCTGTATTCCCCTTTCCACATGTTTGTTTATTCTGCCACTGCTACTTTCATAATAGTATTTTTAAAACTCATGGACACAAAGAAAAAGAACAAGGTCCTTGTACTTCCCTGACATTTGCCTGTAGGATCTTTTCAAAGAGAGGGAACAGACGAGAACTCTCTTGTGTCGGACCTCAGAGTACAGACGTAGTCATCGTTTGAGACTCATACGCCACCAGTAGTCATCATCAGCCCGGGACTGGCCCTCTTTTTCTCCAGTAATTTCTACACTGTTTATCCTACAATTCGTTAATTCACTACTAATAATAAAGTAAATGTCTCTGAGTCACAAAAACTCAAGTGCAAGACGCGTAAGTATCCCTAGCATCTACCTATGTCAGAGTTTGCTGGAATGAACACACCTTCATTAATCGTCCTCACTGATACAAATGGCAATTAATCTACATAATGTTTCATGTCGAGTCCACATTTATCCTTGGCACATGACTGGCCTTCTGTGAGTACATATGGTACGTTTTAATACTATCCCGAATCTCCTAAACAAAAAAGCCAGACCAAAAAAGAATCTATTACTTACATTGGTCTACATGCATCTGCACAAACGTGGACCAGATCACGGCCAGGTGCTGAGTCAGCTCTGCTGTGTCCATTCTGAGAAGTACAAAGCAGAGATGACAGCTGGATTGGCTCATTTTCTATTGGTGCATTCGTTCTACCTTTCTCTTACTCATTTAGCTCTACATTAATTTGTGGTACTACTTAGTAATTTTCTTTTAAATGAACAAATACCACACTAGCTCTGACCCAGAATAAGAACTTTGACTATACTGTCTGTGTCATCCTTAGTCAAAGAAGTAAGATACTGCAACCATTTACTTTTTGAATGGAATTCAATATTTTCAATGCATTTCAATAGTTTTTATTGTCTGGTCGCTTAGATGAAGAGTGGACATGCTTCTCACACCCCATCTTTACTCTTGTATATGTGTGCACTTGATTAATAAAAAATTCAAAAGATTCCAAGAAGATGGTCCTTTTATATTCCCAAATCTATCCATAGGATCACTTCAGAAGCACTACACTATATTCCCTTCTCTGCTGGCCCTCAGAGCTCCAGGCACATACTATTTATCACCCATGACTCCTATGCCACAAGTTGTTATTACTGTTCCAGGCTTGTGACTCTTTTACTTAATTCTCATTTACATTTGTTTATTCATTAATTCACTGATATTAATTTCATAACCCATATAAATATAATAACCAAAGAATAAGAGCATTGACTATTCTGCAGCTGCCCATTGAATCGTTTGTCAGTTTGATACATCTTTCATGAATTATCCTCAATGGATCATAAATGAGTTAATGAATGTAATGCTTCATACCAGCCTCACATTCATCACTGGCCGTAGTTGGCCTTTTGGATATTTCAGACTGTAATGATATAATGAACACCCTTAAAAAAAAAAAAACTTCTTAAATCAACAACACATGAACGTTATTACCCACTTTGGTGTCAACGCTACTAACAAACGGACAACCGCAGACCTCGGGACCATGAACGCTTAAATCAGCTCAAGTGTGCCCATTCTGTGGAATATGAAGCAGAGAAGATAATTTTCTTTACAAAATTGAGACCTTCCTTCCATGGATCCTTCCTTTCTGCATTTCCTTTATTCAGTCACTTAGTTATTTACCAATTTTTTTATAATGGGGGTGCTTTGCTCTTAAAACTTGAGACGAAAATAAAATTTACTCTTCCTTGTTAGAGTCTATATAAATCTTAGTCAGAGAGGTGATACCCACGAAACATTTATTTATTAAGGGGTATCAGTATTTAAAATTTTTAGCAAGAATATTTCTTGCATCATTGCATATTCATACTTGGACAATGATTCACCCTCTTCGTGTATACCTGTTTCATAGTTCTATCAATAATCCATTAATGATAAATCTAAATCTAAATCTATGAATCTAAAGTAAGAATACAATCTTTGGGCATTTCTCATGTCTACCTATAAGATTATTTCCAACAGAAGGACTTGACTCATACGTTCCATATTGGACCTCAGAGTTTCAGACACATGTTACTTATCATCTATGACTCAAATGCCACCAGTGGTCATCATTAGTCCATGTTTGGGTCTCTTTATCTTCATTAGTTTCTATGGTCATTTGAATAACTTATTAATTCATTAATGATAATTAAATAAACATATGATTCACAAAGCCCAAGAACAAGATCCTTGAAAATCCCTAACAGTCTATGGAATAATTTTCCACACAGACTCTTTCATTAATTGACTTCAATATTGCACATTAATAATTAATCAACATAACATTTAAATTGTATTTATAATTGGGTCATAATTAGCTTTTGTTACATTTATTTTATTTATTTATTTTTTCAGAGACAGAGTCTCAGTATGTTACCTGGGCTAGAGTGCCGTGAGATCAGCCTAGCTCACAGCAACCTCAAACTCCTGGGCTCAAGTGATCCTCCCACATAGCTAGGACTACAGGTGCATGCCACCACATCCAGCTGATTTTTTCTATTTTTAGTAGAGACGGGGTCTCACTCTTGCTAAGACTGGTCTCTAACTCCTGACCTCAAATGATCCTGCTACCTCAGCCTTCCAGAATGCTAGGATTACAAGGCGTGAGCCACCACACCCAGACAATAGTTTTTAATAATACCATGAATACACTCAAACAAATAGCCCAAAGCAAAACAAGAACTCACACTGGTCTCACTCCTATGCAAAGGCAACTCAATCTTGATCATAGCAGAAGGTTTACATTGTCTGGTGCATTCATTCTGAAGAGTGCAAATCAGAGAAGATGATAAAAATATTAAGACATTCTGTCCATGGACCCATACCTTCCACCACTCATTTACATAGTCACTTAGGTATTTATTAATTTATGGTGATATTTATTAATTTTCTGCTAATGCAACAAATGTTAAATTTACAACTGACTCAGATTAGAAACTATTACTTTATCATTGTCTACATCATTTTTAGTCAACGATATAGTAATCTACTTATTATCTATGTCAACTTATATTACTATTGATTTTTCTTCCTATACATTTTAAAATTAAACAGTACTTCACCTCTCATCTTTATTCATTTATATTAATACAAATGTTTATGAACTCTGCCACTGCTACTTTAATTAAAATATTTCTTAAAATTCATGAACACAAAGACAAGAACAGGTCTTTGTATTTTCCTGAAATCTCTTTATAGGATCATTCAAGCAGAGAGGATGGACTAGATTCCTTTTGTTTCCAGCCTCAGACTTACGGACACATTAGTCATTATCCAAGAATCATACGGGGAAAGACAACGTCATCATAGGCCAAGGAAAAGCCCCCTTTCTCTGCACTCATTTCTACATTGTTTATTGATTAATTCATTAATAATATTGGTTCAGGCTTGAGACTACTTTTCTTCATTATCGTCTACATGTGATTAGTGACCAAGTTATTAATTTGCTAATACTAATAAAATAAATCTATGTGAATCAAAAACTCAAGGACAAGATCCTTAAGTATCCCTAACATCTACATATAGAATCATTTGCTGCATTGAATATAACTCTATTTCTTTAATCATCCTCATTGTTGCAAATACGGATTCATCGGCATAATGTTTCAGGTCAATTGCATATTTCTCAGCAAGCCATGGTTAACCTTTTATGAATACATTAAATACATTTTTTAAATATTACAGTGAATACCCTAAATAAACCACCCAAACCAAGACAAGAGCCTTTTTTTATTATTACTTACCATAGACTTGATGCTCCTAACATGGAGGTAACCATGGAGCTCATGAACACAGCAGAATGCTTAAACAAGTCCGTGGGTGTCCTTGGTAAGAAGTACAAAGCAGAGCAGATAGCAAGATTCAGATGTTATCAACATTGTTCTGTGCATTCAACCCTTCATTTAGTCAATCATCTAGCTATATATTAATTTAATTTGGGGTAATTCTAATTTTCTTCTTAAGAAAATGAATAATGCCAAAATTGTCACTGATCCAGAACGTGAACTTTGACTATTTATATTGTCTTTATCATTCTTAGTCAAAGAAGTAAGATACTTGAACCATTTTTTTAAAGCAATTCAGTATTTTTAATACATTTGAACAATTTTTACTGCCTCACCACATATGTTAACAGTAGACATGTTTCACACTCCTCATCTTTACTTATGTTTACTTATATTTCTACAATGATTGATCCATTTATAATAACAGAATCCAATTTCACAGAAACAATTCAAGAAAATAATCCTTTTATGTTCCTAGAATATGTAGAAAATAAACATTTGAAACAGAAACAATGCATTACATTTTATTCATTTCAAACAGAAGCTATAGATTATATTTCATTTTACACTGGATTACATACAGACTTATAGACACAGTATTCACCACATACAATTTATATAACAATCATTTGTCTTGGCTTGCGTCTCATTTACTTTATTTTCATCTACTTTTGTTAATTGATTAATTCATAATTCTCTAGTAATAATAAAACAAATATCTAAATAGAATATCATGGGGATACAAATGTTTATGTTACATATATTGCCTCTGGCCCACTGGAGTCAGTTCTACAAGCGTGTCCATCCCAGACAGTGCACGCCGAACCCATTATGTGTGAATATGCCCATCCCTACCTCCCCCTTCCATCCTGCCCAACACCCGACGAATGTTACTTCTATATGTGCACATAAGTGTTGATCGATTAATACCAATTTGATGGTGAGTACACGTGGTGCTTGTTTTTGCATTTTTGTGGTACTTCACTGAGTAGAAGAGACTCCAGCTCCATCCAGGATAATACAAGAGGTGCTAGATCACCATTGTTTTTGTAGCTAAGTAGTACTCCGTGGTGTACATATACCACATTTTATTAATCCACTCATGTATCGATGGGCACTTGTGTTGTTTCCTCATCTTTGCAATTGTGGATTGTGCTGCTATAAAAGTTCGAGTGCAGATGTCTTTTTTATAGAATGTCTTTTTTTTTTCCTTTGTTCAGATGCCCAGTAATAGGATTGCTGGATCATATGATAGTTCTATTTTTAGCTCTTTGAGGTGTCTCCATATTACTTCTCATAGAGGTTGTACAAGTTGGCAGTCCCACCAGCAGTGTATGACTATTTCTACCTTTCCGCATTCACACCAATATTTATGTTCTTTGGGGACTTTTTGATAAACGCCATTGTCACTGGAAATAAGTGATATCTCACTATGGTTTTGATTTCCATTTCCCTGATGATTAGAGATGTTGAGCATTTTTTCATATGTTTGTTGGTCATTAGTCTGTCTTCTTTTGAGAAGTTTCTGTTCATGTCCTTCACCCAATTTTTAATAGGGTGGTTTGATTTTTTTTCTTGCTGATTTTCCTGAGTTCTATATAGAGTCTAGTTATCAGCCCTTTATCGGGTGTTTGGCATGCAAATATTATACCTCTTTCATTAACCAATCTTATTGTTGCAAAACTCAATTGATCAACATGTTTCATGTCAACTCTATATTTATGATTGGGAAATGATTGGCCTTCTTTGAGTATATTTAATGTCTATATAATTATATTTTCAATGTCACAATGAATACATTAAACAAAGCACAAAAACCACAACAAGAACATTGACTATTATTCACATTGGTCCATGTTCTAACACACAGAGGCAATCATGAAGCATGTTATCACTGTCAAATGCTTGAACCAGCTTGGGTTACCCACTATGAGAAAAACAAAGCAGAGCAGATAATCACAAGACTGGCCTGTGCATTCCAATTTTCATTTAGCAAGCAGTTGGAAATATATTGATTTCGGTTATTTATTAACTTTTCCCTAACAAAATGAAAAATATCAAACTTGCCACTGATCTATAATAAGAACTTTGACTGTACTGTCTATATTATTCTTAGTCAAAAAGATAAGATGCTCAGGACATTCATAATTCTTACAGAACTTCAGTAGTTTCACTAAATACTAACAATTTTTATTGTCCCACCACATATATTGAGTGAACATACTTTGCTTTTTCTTATTCATGTATGTACTTTGATTCTTTCATTAATCCAATAATAATAATAGAATCAAAAGTCATGAATATAAATCAAGAAAATTATCGTTTTATATTCATAAAATCTGTCTATAGGATCACAATATACTATTTTCAATTTTTTTAATTTTTTTATTTTTAATTGGCAAGTAATTATATATTTATGAGTTACAATGTGATGTTTTGACATATGTTTATATTGTGGAATGATTAAATCAAGCTATTAAACACATATATCACATCCTTATCATTTTTTGGTGGTGAGAACATTTAAAATTCTACTCTTTCAGCAATTTTGAAATATTCAGTACATTAACTACAGTCCCCATGCAGTGCAAGAGATCTCTAAAACTTATTCCTCCTGTCTAACTGAAACTTTGTACCCTTTGAACATCTTCCCACTCCCCAGTACCCCACCTTCTGGTGACCACCATTCTACCCTCTACTTCTGTAAGTTCGCCTATTTTACGTTCTGCATATAACTGAGATCATGCAATATTTGTCTTTCTGTGTCTGGCTACAGTTCAAGGACACACATTATTCATCATCTATGACTCACCAGTCACCCACTGTCATCGTTGGTCCAGGTGTCAAGTCTTCCTCTTCATTCTCATCTACAATTGTTAATTAATTAATTCACTAATCCACTAATATTAATTTTGTAAATTCCTACGATTCAAAAAGACCCCAAGAATAAGACCCTCGAATGCAAACATGAGTCTACAGAATTATTTTCCACATTGGTATGTCTCTTTCATAAATCATACTCAATATTTGATATGCGTTAATAGATATAATGCTCCAAACATCTATAGAAATGCCTATAGAGTCATTTGCCTCACTGAGTAGACCTCTTTCATTAATCATCCTGACTGCTGGAAAGTGATTAATCAACATGACATTTCACGTCAATTCCATATTCATTATTGGACTATGGTTGGTCTTTTTTTCTTATATTTAATAATTCTTTTAATATTACAGTGAATACCCTAAACAAACTATCAAAACTGAAATGAGAACAATGACCGTTACTCACATTGGCTTCCATGCTCGTGCACATGGAGTCAGCCATAGAGACCATGGACCGAGGCTTAAATCTGCTTGGATGTGTCCAATCTAGGAAGTAGAAAGCAGAGAAGATGTTAAGATGATTGAGATTTTGCTCTATTGATCCTTGCATCTACAATTCATTATTCAATCATTTAGGTGTATCTTATTTGGCTTAATATATAATTCACATGCTCTTAATAACAAACAACGTCAAACTTCCATTAACCCAGAACAAGAATATCGGCCTTTGTTGATATTATCTATATTATCGTCAGCAAGGAGTAACACCTTTGAACCATTTGGTTTTTTTTAACTGATTTAGTATTTTCAATATATATTATTTTCTCCTGTCTCACTCATTTCTTCTTAATTGGATGATGCTTCACCCGCTTCATCTTTACTTATTATGGTTGTACACTGACACTTTTTCCACTTTAAAATTATTTTTAATAAAAGTTGTACATTGGAGGTATACAACGTGGTGTTTTTGTTGTACATGGATTCTTTTATTGATCCCTTTCTTAGGACCAAAATCCATGGAAACAAAGACCCCCAAAAAGACCCTCATAAAATCCTTAAAAAATCTGTAAGATCATTTCCAACACTAGTCAATGAACTAGATTGAATTTTTTCTTGCTGGACCTCAGAGTTCTAACCATATGTAGTCATCGTCCTTGACTTATATATGCCGCCATCTCATCATCGATCCAGGCTTGGGCTTTGTTTTGTTTCTTATTTCATTCTCATCTACCTGTATATAGAATCATTTGCTATATCAATATATCTCTTTCAATAATCGCCCTTAAGGTTTCATATATGGATTGATCAATATGTTCCATGACAATCCATATTTATCGACGTGCCACAGTTGGCTTTCTTTGAACATATTTCAAATAAGGAGGATATGTCCACAGGGACTCACAGTGGTTTTTATGCTCCAAACATACAGCGGCAACCATCGTCTTGTGACTATGGGAGAACCCTTAAATCAGCTCCGGCATGTCCACTCTGAGGAGCACAAAACGGAGGAGTTGATTAAAAAAAAAAAAAAAATTAGGACCTTACCCCCATTGACTCTTGCTTTCTACATTTAATTTGTTCAGTCATTTAGGTATTTGCTAAGTTTTGTGGCATGCATATTTTCTGGACAAAACACACAACCGTGACTTGGACTGACCCAGAGTAATAAAGTTGACTATCAGCGTCTATACGATCATTAAACAAAGAGGCAACTAACACCTGGATCCACTTATTTCTCAGCAAGAATCACTGGTTTCACAGACGCACCTATACACTGCGGGAGGACTCTGCCGTGTTGCTCGCGGTTAAAAGGGCCGCCCTTAGGGGTCCGGGCGGCCCCAGTTATGCCCAAGCATATGCTCTGGCGCCACAGCCCGGCCCCTGGCGCCACGCAAGAGGTGCGGCGGGGAATCAAAGGCGGCGCGTTCACTTTACGTTCCTGGTGTTTCTTGCCTGGCCACATACACCGGTAATTAAACAACAGCTCGTCATCTATAGTATAATAAGTCATACCTACTGACCTATATATTTATTTAATGCTTCCATCTTTGACCTGTTTATAATAATACTATCAAATTTACTACAAGTCCAAAATAAAAAAAACAAGATCTTTGTATATTCCTGTTCATAGTATCTGACCACAGGGCTATTTCCAACAGAGCGAACAGACTAAACTCCTCATTACATCAGACCCCAAAGTCCCAGGCACATACTATCCATCTCCCGTGACTGCCACGCCCACGGTCATTGTATTGGTCCAGGTTTTTTATCCCACTCATCTCCACAGCTCTTTACTAATTAATTTATCAGTAAACCAATAAATCTAAAAGTAAATATCTGTGGATCAAAAACACTTATGAACAAGTTCTCAAAACCTAGAGAACAAGATGCATAAGTATCCTTTAACATCTGTCTAGACAATCATTTAACTTACTTTTTTTTTCATTAATCAATCTCAGTGTTGTGAATATATTGATTTCATCAACATCATGTTTCATGTCCACCCCATATTTATGACTGGGTCATGGATGGCTCTCTTGGATTATTTCTAGTACTTTTAAATTTTTACAGTGAATATCCTAAACAAGCCACCATAATATGACAAGAATGGTGACCATTACTCACATTGGGTCTCCCGGTCCCTACCCACAGAGGCAGCCGTGGAGAACAGGGTCACGGCCGATTGCTTCCGCCAGCTGGGCCTGTCCATTCTAAGACGTACAAAGCAGAGCAAAGGACAAAAATAAAAGTTGAAACATGATCTCCATTGATCCATGCATGTCATCATTTAGTGAGTCATTTAGGTATTTATTACTTTAGGCTAATATTTACTAATTTTTAAAGAAACCAAGAACATTGATCTTGCCACTAACACAAATCAAGAACATTGCTCTGTAAAGATACTGTTATTTCTGAATAGACTTCACTATTTTCATTATATATTAATAGTTTCTCTTATCTCACTGTATGATTCTCATGATGGATAATGCTTCACTTATTCATATTTATTTATATTTATTTATCAATTCTTTCATTGATCTATTTGTAATAATACGATCAAAATCTATGAATACAAAACCAAGGCCACAGTTCCTTTTTTAGTCCTACCATCTGTCTATAGGATCATTTCCAACAGTGGCAATGGACTACGTTTCTTATTGTGTTTGGCCTCAGACTTCCAGACACGTATTGTTCATCACCCAAGACTCATACGCCACCAATGGTCATCACAATGGGTCCAATACGCCTTTCTTACTTAAGTTCAGTGTTTTTAACATATATCAATAAATTCTATTGCTTCACAACATATTTCATGATCTGACAATGCTTCCCCTATTCATATTTATTTCTATTTTCCTTGATTCTTTTTGTTAATTTAATACATCCAATTATAGCAACAGAATCAAGACCCATGAAGACAAAGACTAAGAACATGACCCTGAGATACTCTTAACATCTGTCTGAGGATCATTTCCAAAAGAGGCAGTGGGTGAGATGTTCTTTTGTTCTGGACCTCTGAGTTTCAAACACATATTATTCATCATCCATGACTCATCAATGACAATGACCAGTTATCATTATTGATCTAGGCTTGGGCCTCAGACAATAATCGCATATTTATCATTGGGTCATGATTGGCTTTCTTTGATTCTACTAAGCACATCCAATTAATACATGGTATTCTAAAAAACAGCCTCTAAAACACATTCAAACAAAAAGAAGAGTTATAACTATTACTCACATTGGTATCGGTGTCACCAACTACAGAGGACTGCAGAGTTTCTGACCATAGAAAAATCCTTGAACCAACTCCAGTGTGCCCATTCTGAGGAATATAAAGCAGAGCCAATGATAAGATTGAACTCTTTTTCACATTGATCTTTCCATTCCCCCTTTGAGCTAGTCAGTCATTTAGGTTTTTATTGACTTCAGATAATATATATTTCATTTTTCTCATAGGAAAAGCAAAAGAGTTGGATTTTCTACTAACTCACAAGAATATTTGCTATTATTTATACCATCTATATCATCCTTAGCTAAAGGTGACATATTTGAACTATTTATTTCTTAATGGACTTAAGTTGTCAACATATATTAATGGCTTCTTTTGTCTATGTATTTTCATAATTGAATGATGCTTCCATTATTCGTATGTTTATTTATATTTATTGATTTTTCACTGATCTATTTGCAATAACAGAATCAAAATCCATTAACAGAAAAACAAAAATATGATCCTTGTATATTCCTAAATATATCTATAGGATCACTTCCAACATAGGCAGAAGACTAGATTTCTTTTACATGGAACCTCAGAGTGGCAGATATCCATGACTCATATGCCACCAGTTGTCATCATTGAGATTGAAGGTTGGCCCTCCTCTTCCCCATTAATTTCTACATTTGTTTATTGATCAACTCATCATTTCCCTACTAAGAATTAAATAACTATATGTCACAAAAACTTAGGAACAAGATATATTTTATAGCTATCTAAAAGATCATTGGCCACATTGATTATATCTCTTTCGTTAATCATTTTTAATTTTATAAATATTGATTCATCAATATGTTTCATGGCGATGCCATATTTGTCACTGGGCCATGGTTGGCCTTCTTGGATCATACTCAATGTCTTTTAACAATACAGTGAGTACCCCCCCAACCACGCCAGGAACCTTGACTATACTCACGTTGGTCTCTACGCTCCCAATACACCGTTGCGATCACGGAGCTTGTGACCATAGAAGAATGCTTAAAGCAGTTTGGAAGCATCCATTCTCAGAGTACAAAGAAGAAAAGATCATACAAAGATTGAAGTATTCTGTCCATTCATCCTTGCATTTCTCCTTTATTTTCTTAGTCATTAAGTATGCATTCATGTTTGTGGGGTTGTTTTTTTTTCCCTTCTTCTTCAGAAAACAACATTGAACATGGCCCTGACCGAACAAGGGCAGAGGCCACTATTTTTACTTTATATCATCCTCAGGCAAAGAAGTAACACCTTTGAGGCATTGTTTCTTAATGGACTTCAGCGTTTCTAATATGTATTAATAGCATTTTTCGTCACACCATATATTTTCATAACTGGACAATGATTTGCCCTCTTTATCTTTATATTTCTGTTTACTGAGTCATTGATCCAGTTATAAAAATAAAATGGAAGTGCATGAACGTGAAGCCCAAGAACAAAAGCCCTCGAATATCCCTAACATCTGTCCATAGGATCAGAAGGTACAGCCTAGACTATCTACTGTGCCGGACCTCAGACTTCCAGAGCTGTATTCATCGTCCCTGACTCGTACGCCGTCAGTTGTCATCACAGGCCCAAGACTGACTCTCTCTCTCTTCCTTCATCCCCACATTTATTTGTCGAAATAAGTCATCCATTGGTTAATAACCCTAATAAAACTGGGTAATAACCATAATAAAATGACTATGTATGCACAGGAAACACTTAAGAATAAATTCATTCTTAAGTGATGACTACAAAGGCAAAGAATTTTAGCTGCTACTCACATGAGTCCTTGTGCTGACACACAGCGCAGCACAGAGCTCGGGGCCACAGCCCGGCGCTGAGAGCAGACTGCGACACTCATTCTGAGGAGTGCAAAGCAGACCAGGTGAGAAAAATCGGCAACTCGTCTTCAGGAGGCCTTTAAGGACCCTTCCATTGGCACAATAATTTAGGTATTTCTATTTTTTTTTTATTTTATAAATATTTTAATTTTTCTAATTCTATTCTTTTTTGTCTTGTTTTTAGCTGTTCAGCTGTGGTTACAAATTTAGGTATTTCTAAACCTGTGATAATATTCATATAGTTTTCCTTAATAAAATTAACAGCCTCGAACTTGAACTGACCCAGGATAATAATTTTGACTATTGCTCACATAAAGTGTCTTTAAGACTCTTAGACAAAGAGATCTATAGATTTCTTAAGACGTTAGTGTTTTCCGTTTATATTAATAGTATTTCTTGTCTAACCATACATATTCATAGTTGGACAATGCTCTACCCTCTTTTTAAATTTTATTTCTATACTTATTGGTTCTGTCATTGATCCATATATAATAATTAAATCAAAATGCATCGGCAAGATCCTTGTCATGAGACTTAAGAATTACTTACCTCAGCCTACTCTCTCCATACCCAAATAGGCAACCACCAAAACCTTCACGTGTGGGGATGATTGAATCAGCCCTCGTACCTCCATTCTGTGAATTACAAAGCAGATGTTAGAAAGAATGAAACCACGGAGGTTTTTTTTCTTTGTATGAGGGCCAGGTGTTACTAGGTTAACTGAAATCCTCCAGGGGAAACAGAGTTTGAGCACTCATTTATGATGGGCCTCTTACTAGCTCAAAGATAATTTTAATAGACTAATAAAGTAGACCAATAGACTAATAAAATAGACCAATAAACTCCATCACCCAAGACAAGTAAAAGAACTATAGCTAACATACATATTGTCCCCATGCCCCTCCCCATGCAAGTAACAATAATTTAAGTCAACTTTTAAATGGAGTACATTTAAATAATATTATTAATAATCTAAATGATTGTTTCATAGAACAGTCTCATCCAAGGTCTATGGTTTGCCTTGCTTATGAATGTGTAAGTATGTATACCTCTGTAGGTATGCATTTGTGTCTGCACTTCCTTGTGGATTAATTTACTCATCTACTCACATTTCTAAAGAAAATGAACAGGGTAAACAAACCAGCAACTCGGAACTAGAATATAACATACACCTGTCCACACGTACAATACTCCACATGGACAGGGCCTGGGACTTTTTCTGTACCTGGACAGTAGTTACATAGAACTGGAACCTGTGCTTCTTAATGGTCACAGTTTGGCCCTCTTCTGTTTAGTTAGTGGGCTAATCATTTATTTATTTAGTAGCTTGTTACTTTGTTTTTTTAATAAAATGAAAAACTACCAATTCACCCTATAACCAGAACAAGCATATTGACTATGACAAAATCCATCTACATGCTCCTCATTCAAAGTGTAACATGCTCCTCCTATTTTTAGTGGACCTCAGTTCTTAAGAAATATTTGAAAATAATTACTGTTTCATTATATTCTCCTCTAATAGATTCTTTGCTTCTTTCTTTTATATATTAGTGTCTTGATTCAATCATTGGTGCACTTAGGGAGGGGTGGATGTCAAGAGATTACATCATAGTTACAATGTAGGCCATTTTGGTGAAGGACACCCCAAAGCCCTGATATCACCACAACACAATCTATGCATGTAACAAAGTTATATTTGTACTCCTTAAATTTACACAAATTTTTAAAAACTTTAAACCTTCCAGTGGTACTACTACGTCTGTCTACAGGCTCATTTCCCACAAGCATAGGCCACCCCTCTTGGATATGGATGCTGCCGGTACGTATTTGGAATAATCATAACTCTTCGTTCACACCAACAAAAGCCCACCATTGGTCCCAGTTTCGTATTTGTCATCATTAATTATACATTCGCCCATGTTTCAATGATTAAATTAATAATATAATCAATACTTAAGAATCAGAAAAACTCAAAAACAAAAAACGAGACTATCCTAATACCTTTCCATAGATCATTTCTCACAGAGGAAACCAGATAGTTCCCTATAATAGATTCAGTTTTGCAGACTAGTAGATTCATAATCATCCTGGATTCATATAGATCCCATACTCCTAATTGGTTAAGGCTGGATCATTGTCCATTTATTTTGTCCGTATTTTAAAAATGTGGCAATCATCAACTGACTATGAACCCACTATTTTTACCAACACTCAAAACACTGACAATATCTTACATCCTGGAATGTGACTAAACTATGTCTTCATAAATAGAGGAAGATTTAAATCAACTGCTACTCAAATAAAATTGAATAATTAATTTCTACACTAATTAACTAACTGAATAATTAACTATAAAAGTGAATAAAATGATCTTGCTTTTTTGTCCTTAACGGACTACAAGTATGTTGGATTAGTCCACACATACCTTTTCTTCATTTTATGTTTATATGTAGCCATTCATCCCTCAGCAGTAATAGAGTTAACTCCCACAACATAGCCCCAGACCAGACGTAACCACTTTGGCACTTACGTAGGTTTCTAGAAACATTACCCAAAAGACGACAGCCAGACGGTCCTCGCTGGAGAATGGGTGAATGAATCCCTGTGCATCCATTCTGTAGCGTACAAAACAAACACAAAAACAGGTAGATTAGACAGGAAGCCTAGATCCAAATGTTTTTCATTTAGTTCAAGTGAACAATAATTCTTCAGAAATAAATATCTGAGCTAGTCATATATTTAAAATATGGATAGCATACCTATTGATTCATTGATAAGTATTATATCCATTTATCTAAATGCTCCTTACCCAAAAGGGTCAGGTTTGATCAATTTATTTTACTAGAACTTAGTGCTTCAGAAACGTATTAGTAATGACTCTTATTGCATTCATTACATAACTCTCATATTTGGACCAAGAATAACCCATTTTGTCTTTATTTATTTATACAGTACTTTCTTTGATTTATTCATGCACTCCTTCACTGAAAATAATACAATCCATACTCAAAAGCCCAAGAACAAAATCCTGGCATAAGCTCATTTCCCATGAAGATAATGAACAGGAATCTTTTTGCAATGGACCTCAGAGTAAGGGGTTTAATCAAAATCCTTGATTCAGACACCCCAGGGTACTCATCATCGATCCAGGATAAGCAGTCTTTTTCTTCATTTATACCTTTGTTTATTGATCCATTCATTGATTTCACTAGCAGTAATAAAATCAATACTCATGAATTTTTTTAATAGCCAAGAACAACAGCCTTGAATATAACCAAAATTTGTTTACAGGCTCTTTTCTCATAGACTAGATCTTTTCCCAATGGATCAAATTTATTTCTGTAATGGCCCTCAGTGAAGCATGTATGGATCAATTAACATTCTTGCTCCTAGCCATCCCATTCCAACCGTCTTCAGCCTCTCAGCATGCTCCTCCCTCACAGAGGAGCTGTCTAGCAGGACTTTGCATGCAATTTAAATGTACTACAACTGCGATCTTCAATGTGGTCGCTCAGTACTGGAAATGTGGCTACTATAACTAAGAATTGAATTTAAAAATTCACTTCCCTTTAATTATTTTAAATATAAATAGTCACATGTGGATAGGGGCAACCCCATTGTACAGTGCAGTGTATATTTTATTACTGAATAAATCTTAAATGTAGTGTAAAAATAAGATGAATTACCAATCAGCTATGAAAATGAATGTCTTCCATCTTATTTTTAACCATAATTATACTTAATTGGATTAGCCATAATTTTTATTTCATGACACGTTCATGTCATTGGTCTATATAAGGCTTACTTTAATTCAAAGAACACTAAAAATAATTGATCCCAGTTGACAAGATTCTTTACTGTGATTTACTCAAGTCTTTAGGTTTCTTACCCACAAAGGGACAAGCCATGATCTTCATCAGCAGAAACTGATTAAATCGGCCATGGTCTTTGGTCTGTGGAGTCAAATATCAATGTTCAAAAGAATAAACAGTACAGATGGAGACTGATTTTTAAAACATCAGTTGTGCAGTATTAAATTAATCATAAAGTTGATTCAAGTCCCATTTTGATCACCAATCCAAGAACATCACCTATTTTTATTTATTAATTTAACTATTAATTTTAAATAATACAATAGGTACTATTCGATCCATCACTCAAAACGAGAGCTATTACTACTTACACAGCTGTCTGTACCCCTACCCACACATAGACAAGAACTTAGATAATCTTTCATGTGATGGACTTAACTTATGTAGAAATGGACAAACTTAAATTCATGATTCATGGCATATTTTCACTAATGGTCTATGCTTGACCCTACTTATATATTAATTTAATCATTCATTGCTTTATTTATTCATTTATGGAATGACCCATGGAATGTTTGATTATACATTCACATATACTAGTACACACGTGTGTGTGCACACATAAACCCATGAACAACATAGCACAGAAATGCTATTTATGTTTAAGTACCTGTATTCCCACACCCAAACTAGAAATAGAGCATCAGTGGTATAGACAATGATTAATCATCATTTTTACCTCTCACTGGGCTATGTTTTTCCCTCTTTCAAAAACTTAACTGGGATGACATATTTGATTTACATGGAACAATTCATCACTATATGGGAATTTATTAACATTAATCACTTTAAATAATACTGCTGTTTCCATATGTCCATTACATTACCCAAAGAGATTTAAAAGCTAGATTTTTTCCTTGTTTTTGATAAAACTCAGTGAATAATACTTCCCTAATAATAACTTAATTATTAATAATGAGATGAATTATGCTCATTCTTATTTCCAATTAAATAGCTATTTCATCTATTATTTATGTATGTAATTTTTCCCTTCTCTAAAGAAAACCAATCAGTAAACAACCACATACATCAAACAATAATATTGAGCCTTACATACATCTGTCTACATGCTTCCAGAAAAGGATAGCAGCCTTTATTAATATATAGCACTGGAATTCAGTGCTATAGAAATATATAACAATCATCCACGCGTCATTACGTACTATCTTAATTGCTCCATGCCAAGCTTTCCTTATAATTACCCATTCATAGATTTCTTTATTTATTTACACGTTGATTTACTTATAAAAATTCAGTTTATACCCATAAACTATGAACACCCACGATCAAGATATCCAAATATTCTGAACTTCTGCTACAAGATCTTTTCCACAGAAGGTAAGCAGTAGGCCACTTCACATAACGGACCTCAGAGTTACAGATGGCTTTTATCAAAGTGTTTGATTTCAGACACCCTCCAATCTCATCATCGGCCCAGATACGGCATTCTTTCTCCATTCAATTATACCTTCCTATTCCTATGAATTACAAATTCCCAAGAACAACATCCTCAATCTGACTCTACTACGTCTCTAGGTTCCATTCCCACAAAGCTCTCAGGCTAGATCTTAACACTGCACGTGTGAAATAAAAAATAAACCTTGCTTTGTGTCACTACGATCGATAGAAATGGTCCATGACTGACCCACATTCATTAAATTTGTCCAATTTTAAAGAGAGTCCATTGAACAACCAAAATCCACAATGGTATTTCACAACTAGAACCCAGACAGTAAACAGCCTGAATCTCCACCAACGTGGAAATGCTTAAATCACCTGTGGTTCAGAAACACTATGGAATATCAAACAGTTCTGAAAATTAACCAAATTCCTTCCATCTCCTTTAAAAATGAACCCCAGTGGTGCTGAAAGGGGTAATCCTACTCCTTGGCTACAACACATTCCTACTGCTGGCCCTTGCTTGCTGTTCTGCTACTTCACTTTTGTGTCTATGGCCTTTTGTTCCATTCTCCAATGATCGCACATGAAAAAACCATACAAACCCAGAGCAGAAACTCTTGCACTGACATTGCTCCTCACCCACCAAAGCAGCAGCCGTGCTCTTCATCGCAGGGGAACAACCAAATCCCACGTGGTACGCTGCCCGCTCTGGAGGAAAAGACAGATTTCAAAAAAAATAAAAAGTGTAAGCGTTTAATAGATTTTAAATAGAAGTTACTTTTGCAGTACTAGATTAACCATGAACAGTGGTTTGTGCCAAATTTTCATCTTCAACCCTACAGTGCTATCCTTTTCATGTACTGATAATGAAAACCTTTGAATCTACCACCCAACATGGGAAGATTGATTATTATAATATTATTAATATTAATTATTAATAATTATTAATTGTTATTATTGATTATTAATATCTATCTAGGTACCCCTGGCATGAAGGGCTGATAAGTTTTCCATGGGGAAAACTTTTGCACAATAGGATGAATTTAAATTCTTGTTTTATGACATAATCCGACCAATGGGCCAAACTTTAATTCATGTATTTAATGATTCATTTATTTATTCACTTATTTAATAATTCTAAGCATAGTTTAATCATCTACTCTTTTTTCAAAAGAAAATACAAAATGGTAGAGCCACCTGATACCTAAAGCTAAATTCTATATTGCCTGCAGCTGTCTACACGAGCCCTGTCTGCACTGACAGAACTTTTCATAATGACACAACAGTCCTCTACCAGTGCTGCCCGACATGGCACCACGGGCCACAAGTGGCTTGGCACGTGGCTAGTGTGACTCAGGAACTGAATTTTTGTTTTAAATTAATTTGAATTTAAATGTTAATAGCAAAGTGTGTCTAAAGAGTGGGTCTATATGACCTTTCCATATAGAAGGAAAGAACTGGACCCTTAAAGTGGACTTCAGTGGCTAGACAGGATTAATCATGCGCCTTCATACATTACTACACTTCTCCCTGGTACATGGTTTGGCCTCGTTTAAACAATGAATTGAGATATGAAATTATTCTTTTACTCGCTTATAATAAGAGCACCATTATTCATGAACCCTCCTAAGAACACTGGATAAAAACCTTAGCAACACTCTAACATCTATCTATTCACTACCACTCCAAATATCATCAAAAAATACATTTGCATTTTTCTTTTTAAACAAAAAGCAGTGAATACAAGAGCGTTTGTAATTATTATATTCACATTTCCAACGCTCATGTTTAGATGTTTTCCTTGTTTCGACAATCTAAACATTAGTATTTGAATCTTTATTGTTAATTATATTAAATTGTTATTTATTAAAATAATCTTTTAAAAATAATCTTATATTAATGTGTTTAGCATGATTTTTAATAAAGTTGTTATTTGATATAAATATTTATTATATTGGCTATTATTTATATATTAAATATTATACTAAAAACATCAATTAATTACATAAATTTTTTTATCCCTTTCTAAAAATAAGACATGCAACCAGAAATTCACCACTAGCACAGAACATTGAGAGCGTATCTATTTATATGATCTCCAAGGGGGAGAAGGCTTAGTCTAGTTTATTTAACTCAAAATTTCAGTAATGTGTTAACCATACATAACCTTTGATTCATTTCTTCCTGTCCTAATCGAATGAGGTGTAGTCCTCCTTGTCTTTACTTGTACTTTTCTTTATTCATTCATTGATTTGCTTACAATAAGACAATCTATACCCACGAACAAAAAATACCAAGAACACTTTGGCTGCCTGTCTGATTTCCTCCATAAGCACATTTCCCATTGACACAATGGACCTCAGAGTCACAGACAGGGTTTAATCAGAGTAGTTGGTTCAGATGCCCCACGCATACTCATCATTGATCCAGACACGGTATTCTGTGCTTTCATTCAGGTATATTGTTCTTGATCTGCTCGTTCATTATACTAATGGCACAACCACTGTCCATGGATTAGAAGGAAAAAAGACCCTTGAAAATGTGAATATATCTGTAAAATCCACGTCCCGTAGAACTACAGGACCTCTGTGTAACGAGCCCCAGTGTTGCAGAGATGAATTAATCCATTTCCTTGCCCCGCGTGAATTCCATATTAGCCCCTGGTCCATGCTTGGGCCTCTTTAACGCCTATATTTTAAAGATAGTACAGTGAACTACCATTTTATATCACAGCTAAGGAGAAGGCAAGATTTTCCATTTTTGTATGTCCTCCCTCAAATGGGATAACAGTCTAAAACAATTTCAGTGGAGATCTGTTTAAATCCACTGTGGCACAAAAATAAAAGAGCATACTAAGGCACGCTGAAAATGGCAGATATATGCCTTTCATCTTTTTGTCCTTAATGAATTCAGTTGTGCTGAAATGGATTAATCCTGATCCTTAACTCACAATGCATTTCCGACATTGCTCAAAGCATGACCTTCGAACTGTCCAGGTATGTAGCCATTTATTTCTTTGAACTACGTCCATGACTACACATGATCAAGTCCCCCAAGCGAGAGGATAAACTTTGAACGTTACCTGCATGGATCTCTTCCCTCCTCATCCATGGAGGTGAAAGGCAACATCTTCACCAGAAGGCAATAACTCAGTCGGGTGGAATGTGTTCATTCTGAAGTGTATAAAGCAAATTTTAAAAAGAATTAGTCTACATTTAGCCGTTTTCAATGAACCCTAGCTCTGTAGTAATCAATTAACCATAAGCCTTGGTTTGTGCCCCATCCTGAACACTTGGGAAGAGAGAGTACTACTTTCTCTTTATTAACTAACATAACTTTTTTGTTTTAAAGAATATAATGAACACTGTTGAATCTAGTAAGCAACCTGGTTTGTTTAATGTTTGTTTGCTTAGATATAATTGCATAAAAAGATAACATTAATTGTAAGTGTGGCTGTATAAAAGTCTCATCATTGCTCCAAGCTATCTCTCAATTACATAATTATTCAATCAACTATTTATTTATGTAAATGTATCCTTTTCCTTAATGAAATAATCAATATGCAACCTGCCTCAACAGAGAACAAAAATACATTCAGTCCTGTGTACAGATGACCATATGTTCCTTGCCAAAGCGATAAGAACCTGGACTACTAATTTATTGGGACTAAAAATCTCAAAATCGTCTTAATAATAATCCATGTTTAATTACATGCCTTAAAATATAAGTGTATGCATATCTTTCTTATTCTTCACTCACTGGCATAATTCTTTATTCATGGGCTAATTTTATTATAATAATGTAATTCATACCCTCAAACCACAAAGGCCCCTGAAACAGGGTTCTGTATACTCATTTCCCATGAAGAATAATGAGGTGTCTTTTATTTGTTATAATGGCCCTCAGAATTGCAGACGGGTTTAATCAAAATTGTTTCAGAAACCCCATGCTATTCATCATTGGCCCATGATGAACTTTTTTTTTTTTCATTTATTGATTGATTTATCAATTCACAAATAACATGATCATAAAAGCTCAAAAACAAGAGCATGGAATTTTAGGCTCTTGTCAAAGGTGGTTCAATGAAAAATAATGAAACCACCGTCTTCTATCACTTCTGAAACACTCACCAAGCAAGCAGCGGTCTCCCGGGCGGCCCCGAAAGACCCAGCCAGGATCTCCGCCCGTATGGGAATGTGCAAATCAACCACGGCATAAGATAAAGAATAGTAACACGCTGCTCTGAGAGTAAGTTAAATAACTTCTTTTAAAATTACCTCAGTTGTGCTAATTTAGGTTAAATATAGTTTGTGGTTCATAACACATTCCCATCACTGGTCCGTGCTTGGAGTGTTTTATTTATTTTATGCATATAGACCTTTAGCAACCATTCAAAACAAGAACATGAAATAAAGGACTTACTTATATTAGTGTCTACGCCCCTTATTCAGGATAACACTCTTTACTGAATGACTAAATCAACTGTCTTGCGTTCACTCTGGGAAGGAAAAAGTAGATTTAAAATAGATTTAGGTCTTTTTAATGGTCAAGCAGAACTAGACTAATAAAAGAATTGCTCAAAAATACAATTTTTATTAGCCCTATATTGAACTTCTAGTTTTAAATAATCTAATAAGTACTATTGAGTCTGCTACCTAACCCAAGAATACGAACTCTGATTACAAATATCTGCCTATATAAGCAACTAGTAAGTAAACAGTTATATAATAGATTACTAGCTGATGCAAACACCTTCCCTTTTCTTAATTAAAAAAAAAAAACCAATAAACCACGAATTAAAAAAAAAATTAAAAAAAAATTGTCTCTTAACTAAGATACTAATAGGCTCCATGTAAAAGAAGATTTTACTTCAGATTAATAATTATACTCGTTTTATTGCAAGCATTAATATTAATAATACTTATTTGACTACACTCAACGAATTACACCTCAAGTAGGCCTGTTTATCTTTGCTGTATACACTTCTCTATGTATTTATGCATGATTCACCTGAAATAATACATTTCCTATCTTTGAACCACAAAAGCCCAGGAACAAGTTTATTGAATTTCCCTAACTTCTGCTAGGTAATTTCTACATAGAATATTGGCTGTTTCTCATTCAGTAACAGATCTCAGAGTAAACAGAGGGCTTAATCACGGGTGTTGATTCAGAGTCCTCCACCTATACTCATCATCGATCCGGGCTTGGCCTTCTATTTCTTCATTCATTTCTACCTCCTTCGACTGGCCCAGCCATTCATGGTTTCACAAATGATAATTGTACAATCAATACCCTTTAATGACACAAAACTGAGAACAAAAGGCTTAAATAGAACAAAGATCTGTTCATTGCTCCCTTTCATGCAACAGTGTAATATAGACTAGACCACTCGTCATGAAGAACCTCAGGTTTAGGCGTGGGATTCATCAGCACCGTGGCTTCCTATCAGTCCCACGCTCATGATCGGCATCTACTTGATCCTCTCTCTCTTGACTTGTCGTCTATTAATGCTGGCATAATCGACAACCACGGGCCTCCCACCTTAGCCCACAATTGAGAAAATTGACACACGCTATCTACCTCAAAGAGCTGACAACTTAAATTGTTTGTCAGTGAAGGAATATATTAAGCAACTGCAGCAAAAACATTAGATGGGAATTTAAAGTACTCTGACAATACGTGAAATGCTTTCCACCTCTGAGGTTCTCCGGGGTGGTTGAATTAATCATAAAGTTTTGTTCATGACGCATTCCCATTATCGGTCCATGATTGGCATTCCTAAACTTCATGTCTTATTTAGCCATTTCGTTTATCGGGATAATTTAGCGGGCTCCGGTGCATGAACACCATCAAAGCCCAGAATGAAACGTCGGCCTTGGAGCTGATGTTTACTTACGTCAGTCTTTATGCGCCTTCGTCCAGAAGGAACAGTTATGGTCTTTGTGATTAGAGGATAATAAAACCAGCTATGTGCTTGTCATTCTATAGAGAAGAAAAGCCTGTTTTTAAAAACATGTTCTCATTTTTCTAAGAAACTAAATTACTACAACCTGGAAAGGTCTATGTATGTCTTTCAAACAAATGGAATAGCCTAGAATTTTTCTTAGAACATCTATCATGGAAAAAAAAAACATTAATCAATACTCTCATAGCATAACATTTGTTCCTAATTGGCCCATGGTTTGCTGACTTTCAAAAATAAATTGAGACATAAAAGCATGCCTTCTTTCCCATATAAACAGACATCAGCATTTGTGCTCTGACAGCACTGGACAAGAACATTGAAAAATATTTATATCTGTCCATAGTCATTACCCTCAGGAATAACAGACTTGCTTCTTTTTTTATTGTTTTCGTAAAAATCAGTTAAATAAAAAATAAGATTGTATTAATATTCTCATCATTGATCTCTGCTAGGCTCTAAATTATGTACTTATTTAAACAACTATTTATATAAGTAAATACATTTCATTTTCTTTTTTTTTTTAATTGCAGAATGTTACAGGGACACACACACTTTGGTCACATAAATTGCCTTTGCACCGCCCGAGTCAAAGCTACAAGCATGCCCATCCCCCAGACAGCATGCACTACTTCCATTAGGTGTGAATTTACCCATCCTTTCCCTAGCCCTCCTACCTGCCTGATCCCCAATGAATGTTACTTCCATATCATTTTGTAGCGTTTTCTTTATAAAATATTAATAATCAGTCAACAACCCACCACCAACACGGAACAAAAATTTTGACTCTCATGTACAAATGATCATATACCCCTTACTAGATTAGTAAGAGCCTTGAGGATGAATTTATTGGGAGTCTCAGATAAGTGTTAATATAATCCATGTTTCATTATATTCCTTAATAAGTACATGATTTATCCTTTTTCTCACTCATTGATATCATCACAAAATTCCAGGAACAAGATCTCCCTTTTAGTGCTTCTTTCCCCATAGACTAGCCTCCTTTTACAATGGAACTCAGAGAACACGTGTGATTAATTAACATCCATGCTTCATACCAAATCCACATTCACCATTAGTCCTTCTGTGATCTTATTTTATTCAATGTTTCCATGTTTTAAAAATGGCCCAATGGAAAGTGATAAAACCACCATGTTCCAATACTGACAACGTCTTCCATGTTCTCCGAGGCTACTGCAAAGAGTTATCAGCTAGGATCATACCAATATGGAAAAGTTTAAATCGTTTGTGGTGGAAAATAAGATAGAATATTAAATACTTGTGAAAATAAATGAACTACTATCTTTTTTTAATCACCTCAGTTGTACCAAATTACATTAAACAATTTTTGGTTCATCATACATTCCCATCTCTGGTCCATTCTTGGTGATTTTTATTTCTGTTTTAGACATTGATGCCTTTGAAATACCACTAAACACTCATAAATAAAGCATCCCAACCAAAGACATGAACTTAAGGTATTACTTACATTAATCTATATGTTCTTTACCCATAAAGCTAACTATCAAGAATTTTTTTCTTAGAAAATGTCAGCTACCCTATGGTCATTCTGTGGGGGAAAGGCAGATTTAGCCTAGGAGAAGAAGAAGAAATAAAAAAGCATCTTAATAGGAAAGGAAGAAAGTAAAATTGTCTATATTTGCTGATGAAATAATATTATATTTAGAAAACCTAAAATATTCTACCCCAAAAAATTGAAAACTGATAAACAAATGCAGTAAACTTGTAAGATACAAAATCATCATATAAAAATCAATAGTGATTCCATATGCTAATAACTAACTGATAAAGATATTAATAAAATAATCACATTTACAATAAAACACTTTGATGTAAATTTGACCAAGGAAGTGAAAGACCTGTATAGTGAAAAATATAAAACACTGATGAAAGAAATTGAAGAAAACACAAATAAATGGAAAAATATCCTGTGTGTGTGGATTGGAAGAATTAGTATTGTTAAAAAGTCTGAACTACCAAAATCCATTGACAAATTCAAAACAATCCCTATCAAAATCCCAAAGTCATTGTTCAAAGAAATAAACAATCCTTAAATTCATAGGGAACCACAAAAGATCCTAAATAGCCACAAAAAAAAAAAATCTTAAACAAAAAGAACAAAGCTGAAGGCATCACACTTCCTGATTTTAAAACATATCAAGAATTTATAAACAAAACAGCATGGTACTGACATTAAAACAGATGAATTGACCAATGGAACAGTATTAAATGCACATAAATAAAACTCACACATTTATGGACAATAAATTTTGGACAAAAGTGCCAAGAGCACGTAATACAGAAAAGATAGTCTTGTCAATAAATGGTGCTGGGAAAACTAGTTATCCATGTGTAGAAGAATGAAACTGTATCCCTGTCTCACACCATATACAAAAGTCAACTCAAAATGGATTAAAGACTTCAATATAAAACCTGATTTTGTAAAGCTACTAAAAGAAAATATAGAGGAAAATCTCCATTACCAATGTAAACAATGATATTTTGGATATAACCCCCAAAACACAGACAACAAAACAAAAATAAACAAATGGAATGGCAACAAGCTAAAAACCACCTGCACCCCAAAGGAAACAACAAAATGAATAGATAACCTACAGGCCAGAAGAAAATATCTACAAATCATACATCCAATAAGGTGCTAATATCCAAAATATGTAAAGAACTCTAAGAACTCAATCACAAGAAAACAACCCAATTTAAAAATAGACAAAGGACGTGAACAGATATTTCTCCAAAGAAGACATATAAATGGCCAACAGATATATGAAAAAAATTCTCAACACCACTAATCATTAGAGAAATGCAAATTAAAACCACAATGAGATATCATTCCACATCTGTTAGAATGTCTTTTATCAAAAAAAAAAGATAACAAGTGTTGATGAGGATGCAGAGAAAAGGAAACTCTTCTTGTACATTGTTGGGAATATAAATTAGTACAGCCATTATGAAAAAAAAGGTATTCAGGTTTCTCAAAAAACTAAAAATAGAGCTACCATATCACCCAGAAATCCAAAATCTGGTAATATCTCCAAAGAAATTGAAACCAATATGTTGAAGGGATATCTGCATCTCTGTGTTCACTGTAGCACTATTCACAACAACCAAGGTAAGGAATCAAATTAAGGTCATCAATGGGTGAATGAATAAAGAAAACGTGGAATATTCACACAATAACTTTCAGAAAAAAGAAGGAAATCCTGACATTTGTGACAACCTGAGGACATTATGCTAAGTGAAATAAGCCAGGCACAGAAAGACAAATACCACGTGACGTCACTTAATGTCCAGTCCAAAAACATAGAACTCAAAGAAGTGGAGAGTAGGATGATGGTGACCAGAGGCCAGAGTGGGGCTACAGGAGGGAATGGAGACTTGTTGGTTACACTGTACAAAGTTTCAGACATGCAGGAGGAATGAGTTTTGAGATCTATTGCAAAACAGGGTGACTACAGTCAATGATAACGTGTTATATATTTCCAGGTAACTGAGAGTAAATTTCAAATGTCTCACAATAAAAATGGTAGATAAGTGATATATATGTTAATTAGCTTGGTTTAATCATCTAACATTGATATATATCCATACAACAAAACATCACATGGTACCCCATAGGTGTGTGTGTGTGTGTGTGTGTGTGTGTGTGTGTGTATACATACATACATACATACATACACACAATTACGATTTGGCAATTTCAAATATTAACTTTAAAAAAGAAATGAAGATATAAAATCCATAATTTAAGGTTCCATCTTAGGAAACAAGACAAAAAGAGCAAATTAAGTCTAAAGAAAGCAGAAGAGAAAAATAACAAAAATCAGAACAGAACTCAATGAGACTGGAAACAGGAAATCAATAGAGGAAAGTAACAACAAAAAAAAATGGGTTCTATGAAAAGTTCAATAAAATCAAAAAGCTTGCAGGTAGCCAACTAAGAAAAAGAATATAGATGATATCAATTGCTCATATCAGAAATGTAGGAAGGGGCATCATTACAGATCCCACGGAAACTGAATGGACGACAGAGATCAGAGATCCTGAGGCTTCTTTAGTCAGTCTAGCACGTCAAGATGCCATATTTTAGGGTACTGGTTTCTGAGACTCAGTAGTATCATATATTAACCAGAAATTTCAACTCCCTATAACCTCAAACCTTAGTGAAGACCCAGGAAGTAAGAGATCTTGAATTGTCTGTCCTATATCAATTTGATAAAAACTATTTTTATAAGTTTTAAGCCCATGTTTCCCTATAACATATTGTTTTTGTTAACTAGAAATGACCCAGACATTTAATGAGTGTCTATTATTTAACTTTAACAAAACTTTAAGACTTCAAATTATATGAAAATTTTATTTATAAGCATTTATCTCATTTACCTAATTTATCTTAATAATTTACTTACATCCAAGTTACTAAGTTATTTTCTGTTAACCATTTTTACAGCCTGTGAATATTAGATATACAACACAGACCAGAAAACAATCAAAATATAGTTTTAGGCCAGGCACAGTGGCTCATGCCTGATCCTAGCATTCTGAAAGGCCAAGGAAGGAGAATGCTTCAGATCAGGAGTTCAAGACCAGCCTAAGCAACAGCAAGACCCTTTGTCTACTAAAAATATAAATATTAGCCAGGTGTGGTGGCACACACCTATAGTCCCAACTCCTCCGGAGGCTGAGGCAAAGGATCGCTTAAAGCCCAGGAGTTTGAGGATACGGTGAGCTATGATGATGCCGTTGCACTATACCTGGGATGACAGAACTAGATTCTGTCTCAAAAAAAAAAAATATATATATATATGTATAAAAATATAGAGAATGAATTTTAACTACTACTTTTAAATGTAATAAAAAACCTACCAAGAAAATAAGCAAACATTTTAGTAAGACTTGCTATTCTGAACAATGTATGATCTTTCTTCAAATTTTATCAATATATTAACAGTAGAAGTGTCAGAAAACATCTTGATTAAAT